TGTGGCAGAGCTGGCATGCAGCACCCTCTCTGTGGGCACATGCACCGTTGCCCCAGTCCAGTTCCGCTGCACATGCGTGCATGCCTCCTGTCGGCCAGCTGGTCTTCGGGTCTCTGCCCCGCATGTGCAGGGGGTGGAGCGCATGTGGGGGGGGCAATGTGCGCATGCACGGAGGGCGGGCCATGTGTGGGAGGCCAGTGCACATGCGGGGGCAGGGTGCATGCGGGGGGCCATCTCATATTCAACTCTTTTAATCAGCAAATCCAGAAATCACTATTTTTTTTTCAATTTTCAGCAAAAAGTCCATAAAAAGCTTCAAGTCTTTTATAAAAATACTTATTTTGTCCCTAATCAAACAAGTTGATTTTGCCACCAGAAATTTAGACAGAAAAAGGAGAACTTCTCTGGTGATGCCATTATATATATGTAGCACATTCCCTTAGCATATATTTATTTACTTTGAAATAGACCTTAAGGACACATATTTGTTGTTGTCATTGTCATTGTCATTAGAGTTTTAATTAAAGATGCCAAATTAGATCTTAAGTTATTGGTATTCTCTTTTAAGTTATGGGAAATTCTTTGTGTTCTGTGTAGTTGAACTGAACAAGTGTGTTTTAAACGCTCCTTTAATTTAAACTGCAATTTATTTTTAGTCTTTTGAGATATTGCTATGATATTGGTTATGATTTGTCATGAGACAGTTCCGTGATTTGTCATGAGGCAGTTGCGTGTTCTTTTTTGTTTGCCTCTGAAAAGTGACATTAAAAAATCCAGAGGAATTAAATGAACATCCATAGCGATTATGCTCAGGAACATAATCCCAAATCACTGTAAAGTTGTGTTAATAGTTTATTTAAGCTTCCAAGTGTTTAAGGGTTCTGGATTTCTTCCAAGCCTTCTCTTCTGTCCATTCAAGAACATAACAAGCTTGCCAGATGCTCCATATCGTTAATAGCTACCTTTTATTTCTTGAGCTCTTTCAGAACAGTGATTGCAAAAGTGAATTCTAATTTGGCTTTCATGAAAATCTAACTGGTGTCCATCCAGGTTAATATTCTCAGGGTTTTCCCAGTAGAAGAGATTGTTCCTTGCTGTTTTTCCCCCCTGCCTATTTGTAGTCAGAGGAGAAAGCACTGAATATGCTGTAGAACAGGAGTCTCCAAACTGCAACTTTAAAACTTGTGGTTGGCTGAGGAATTCTGGGAGTTGAAGTCCACAAGTCTTAAAGTTGCCCAGTTTGGAGACACCTGGTTTAGAACATTAACAACTTTGAAGAGGTGTGGATTTCAACTCCCAGAATGTCCCAGCCATATTCTGGGAATTGAAGTCCACCTCTCTTAAAGTTGCAGAGGTTGGGAAATACTTCCTTAGGCCATTTGTTAGGCTGGTAGATCTCTCTTCTCTGCTTCCCTAATTGTTAAGAAATAGAAACAGGTACTGAGCGTTGGTGGTATCAGGAGTGAGTTAGAAAAGTGCTGGCTGGATGGTTGGAGCCAATAAAATACAGTACTGAATGCAAAACTTTATATATTGTCAATCTACCTCTGAACCACGAGTAGAGATTCTAACACAAAACTTGTAACATGCCAGTTTTTTTTTTAATTTATTTATTTATTTATTTATTTATTTATTTATTTATTTATTTATTTATTTATTTATTTATTTATTTTATTATATTTCTATACCGCCTTTCTCCTGCAGGACTCAGAGCTGTGTACAGCCAGGATAAAACATAGCATATAAAATTTAAAAACATTTAAAAAAACAATTAAATAATTTTGGCCTGAATTTAAAACAACCCAATTAAAACCGAATTTTGATTAAAAACTGAGAGGATGGGATCAAGTTAACAGAGGAACACAGAGACCTGGTGAAAAGCAACCAAAATGCTGTAAACTTTCCAGTTTACAGGTAGGGCACACTGACATTAAAACCGGGAAGTATTTGCACAAGGGCCATCATTTTCCTTTCCTTGATGCTAATCTTCCCCAATCTTAGCTATTTTAGCTATGTGGAGTTCAACTCCCAGAATATATTGCTGCCTAGGTTACTCTGGGAGTTGAAGTCCACACATCTTAAAATAGCTGAGGTTGGGAAGCACAGTTTTTACTTGCTGCTGCTCTTAGAAGTTGGAAATGTTGGGAGATTCAGAATAAGGTAAAACTCTTGTTTTAGTCCTTGTTGCTGCATTACTCCTAATAAAGTGGCTTAGACTTAAACATGAATAGGCCCTTAGAGTGATCACGCTTGAATTTTATTTGGGCATATTGAACAGACAGGCAATCTTTGACTTATGACCACAATTGAGCCCAAAATTTCTGTTGCTAAATGCGACATTTGTTAAGTGAATCACTGCAGCTGTTAAATTAGTAACATGGTTGTTAAGTGAATCTGGCTTCTCCGTTGACTTTGCTTGTCAGAAGATCATAAAAGGTGATTACATGACTCCAGGACACTGCAGGGGTCATAAATATGAGTCAGTTGCCAAGTTTCTGAATTTTGATCACATGACCATGGGGAACCTGCAATAGTGTGTCAAAAATGGTTGTAAGTTACTTTCTTCAGTGCCCTTTGTATTTTTATTTATTTTATTTTTTATTTTATTATTCATATTTCTATGCCGCCCACTCTCCGAGGACTCTGGGCGGCTTACACCAAAGATAGTATACTAAATAGCATATTGCCCCCAACAATCTGGGTCCTCATTTTACCCACCTCGGATGGATGGAAGGCTGAGTCAACCTTGAGCCGGTGAGATTTGATCCGCTGATCTGCTGAACTAGCAGTCAGCTGAAGTAGCTGCAGTACTGCACTCTAACCACTGCGCCACCTCGGCTCATAACTTTGAGTGGTCACTAAACAAACTATCGCAAGTCAAGGACCACTTGTATTAGCACTTGCAAGGCGGACATGCAGAAGGGGAAAAGGAAAATATCATTTTTGCTGACTAAATATATTGCATTTCCATGATCCATGTTCCTCACCCCCAATACAGGAAATAAATGTCTTCTGAATTTTGAATCAGATTCTCCCTACTCCCTACTGAATATCCTGCAATATTCATTGAATATTGAATTGAAAAGCAATTCATTAGAATGTTTGTTTTTGCCTTGTTAGGTGAAATTTGCTATTATAATCTCACACCTTGTGTGTCTTATTTTTTTTCCAGAAAAACACCAACTTTATATAATTTATGACAATGCATGTCATTATGATCAGATATAAATTTCAAAAGGACATCAAAATCATGTTTGACAGCAATTTGAATGAGCTATAAATGTATTTATTTACATCCTGCCTTTATTGCTTTTTCAAATAATTTAAGGTGATGAACATATCCAACATACCTTCCTTCTCCTTTTTTCCAACAACAACCCTGTGAAGTGAGTTTGGCTGAGAGAGAGAGAGAGAGGGAGAGAGAGAGAGAGAGAGAGAGAGAGAGAGAGAGAGAGAGAGAGAGACTGGCCCCAGATCACCCAGCTGCTGTATGTGTATGTGTATATATATGTGTGTGTGTGTGTTGATTTCAGCAAAGCATTTAAAAAAGTACCTCATGATAGTCTGAGTAGCAAACTCCTTAAATGGAAGCTGAATGGAGGGAAAATTAGGAGGAATTAGGGACATGGGAGGTCAAAGACCATATTCAATTAGTAGATATGAGTGGATGCTCATAAAACTGGAGAGAGATATTCAGTCAGGTGTTGTAACACTTGGTTTCCTGGGCCTCCTACTACTATTCAATATTTTTATTTGTAACTTGGATGACCAGCTGGAGGGAATGTTTACCAGCTCTGAAGGAAGAGAAGACGAGACTGGGAATGGAATATGGTACATTTTTTTAAAACCGAAAGACATCACACAGAAGACAGGCAACATCTCCTTACAGATAGATAGTCTTACATATGACAAATTATGCTATATCTGGGTTAGTCTCATCTGCACACCCACTATGGATGATTGTGAAAAACCTTGTGCTTGAAGTCTGAGAATATTCCAGTTGTTTTTCTCTTAGGAATTAGGCAAACCTATTTTACAGATTACGTGTCGAAAGGAGAGATTAAAGAAATGCAGTAAAAGCTTCCTCTTCTGCCTACATGTTATTTTATTGGCAGGAGAAGGGAGCGAGAGTCAGGAAGAAAACACATTTCTCTGACTTTGTTAAAACATTCAGAAATCGATAGGCCGAGCTACAGCAGGAGCAAATTACCCATCCGAAGGAAGGCCTCTTGTCTAATGGATGAATGAGATGCTCTTAGACATTCTTCCTTCTCTTCTTACGGTTACGGCCACGATAATTGATTTGTTTTGTGCCATTCTCTTTTTGTAGTTAAAGAGAATGACTTTCTCCAACAAATGTTAAGAGTTCAAAATTATTTTGGGTGGGAGGGAGGAGAGTTCAATACTGATAGCCTTGTTGATATGAAGATATAACTGTTATGGTTGTAAATCACGATGGGTATAAAGTGGGTGACTGATCCAGTTTTTCTTTTTTTGTGTGTGTGTGTGTGGTCATTAAGCGAATCACGGGCACTAAGCAAACCCATTGTTTGCTATGGGGCATTTTTGCTGAAAACCAGAGATAAACTTCATTTTGGAGCAAAAATGTAAATCATGGTCCTGTAACCACAAGACACTGCAGTTGTAAATGTGGTCACGGAGGGGGAGAGGCCTTTGGAACCAGGCCCTAAGTACCTTTTTGGGGGGGGGTGCATCATAATCTTGATAATTAAGGGACCAGTCGTAAGTCAAGGACTACTGTATTAGATGGAGAATGGAGCATGGTCTGGGAGCAGGCAAGAATACAGTGGGAAACTGCCATTAGGCCTCAATTGGCGAGATGGACAGGCTGGTTGGTCGGCAGCCTCCCTTTCTTACAGGCCTGACCTCCGCAGGGGAATCAGGAAAGTCAAGATGGGAGTTGCAGCAATGAAATTCCCAGACCTCCAGAAAGCAAATCGAAGTACAAACCAAGTGTGATTAAAAGAATTCAAAGCGCCTTTTGTTTTTAAATTGTATTCTTTTATTTGAAGTCAAAATGAAAAATAAAGGTTTGTTTAAGGAAAAGCGACATTTTACGTGGGAAAGGACAACACATCTGAATAAGAAAACAGGAAAAAAAAATGCAAACCGTTGCTGCTATCAGAAGAGCAAGTCACAAACATGCTGTTAAGAAGCTGGTCCGTTGCACAACTGCTTTTTTTTTTTTTCTTCTCTGCTTGGTTTTAAAACATTTTGGTGTACAACACGAGAGGCAGTTATAAAAACGACACATAGTCCTTCCTTTACAACGAGGCATGACTATTTGGAGCGCGTTTTACAGAAACTGTAAATGCTCACCTTGATTCTGTCTGGTGCAAAGAGGAACTCTGGTAAGCATAAAGAACCAACCAAGCAAATCCCAGAGAATACATTGTGGTCCATGCAGAAATGCCCCAATTCCATAAAAGACACATGCACACATACTAGGTTTTCTTTTAGTGGCACGGCTTTGGAGGGGACGATGTCATGTATGTCACCTTGACGTGACAACTGAGAGCGTTTTCATGGTTTATTTACTTATTTACTTAGGCTGGTACATGCAACAAAACTGTCATCTTTGGAAACTCGAAAAAGGAAGGACACATGATAGTAGAACACTTGGCTTTTGTGTAAACCTCCTTGGCTGCTCTTTTTTTTTTGTGTACAACCCTGTCTGCAGTTATTGATTCAGACTAATGAATTTGAAATGTTCTCAGTGGTAGTTTGAAGCCTACAGAGTACATTTCTTTTGTCTTTAGAGTGCTGCAAAGTGACTTCAGTAAAAAAAAATCTGTTACCATATATACCGACGTGCAAAGACTCAGTTTGGAAAGGAAGAGGAAGCAGCATTATGTAGATGCACCAATTTCATTTCATGGCTCACTGTACTTCCATATGGCTCCCCTGAATCTCCCAGTCTGTGACCGAGGACTGTTGATGGGGCTTGATCAGCACTCGGCTGATCACGAAGCATACAACTATTGTCGCAGTTCTCTACGGAGACGCTATTACACATTGTACTATTTCCTTCCAGGGTTGACAACATATTGTGAAACTCAGGGAAAAGGAGTGAGAACTAGTAGTCAAACAACTTCAAGGCAGACGATAAGAAAGCGAACTGCCGCAACTTTATGCCAAGTCTCTCCAGATTTTTCTGCCTTTGCCTTTCACCGCTTCATATCCTACTTTTTTTCTTCTTTGAGATTTTCACCTCTCAAAGTGAGGATATTATCACCTCTACCCAACTATGGTTTTTTTTGAGTCTTTTCCATTCTCTCAACCTTATTGCTCTTTTTTCAAGCAATATCCCAGAGAATCCCTTTTTTTTCCTAATCAACTCACTGGGATACATGAGTGCTTTATTTTTACATTACATGCTTGAATCAGATGAGGTTGAGATACAGACAAAAAACCCTTCCCTTTTTATGACCCTGTAGTCCCTATTTAGGGTAGAGTTGGGGCGGAGATGAGCGTTTACTGGCCAGATGCCCTTCCTGATGCCTATGTGGAGTTCACAGCAGATATTTTCTCTTTGTGCCTTAGGGGAAAAATATCTGCCGCTACCTAGGATTGAACTCTCAACTTCCAAGTGGGAGGCAAGCGTCTTCACCACTAGGCCACCACACTGCTTGAGATTAGTCTAAAATCACCTACAGTAGTAGGCTTCATAATGGAGTGGGATTTTGCTCAGCCCAACAATCTAACAGCTACACAACATTGCTGCTTGGAGAAATATGAAGATACAGATGGAGGAAGGCATCCAGAAATGCATAATCAGCGATGGGTGTGGTAAACTGCTAATTTATGCTACTGTGTCATGTGGGATAGTGCTGAGTGTGTTTTCTGAGCAGCTGCAATGACACACATCCATGATGACAGTAGGGCATGTTGTCACCACTCATCAAACAACTTGTAAAATGAGCATGCAGCTGAAATGCAGGGTAAACCAGCTGAAATCCATACAGGTAGTCCTCGACTTATGATCACAACAGGGACCAAAATTTCTGCCGCTAAGCAAGGCTGTTGTTAAATGAGTCAATCATATGACCTTTTTTGCCATGGTAGTGAAGCGAATCACTGCAATTGTTAAGCGAATCGTGCAGTTATTAAGCAAATACCCCATTTACTCTGCTTGTCAGAAGCTAGCAAATGATGATCATATGGCCCTGGGATGCTGCAACCATCGTAAGGTACATGCCAGTTGCCAAGCACTCAAATTTTGATCACATGACTGTGGGAACAGTCATAAGGATAAAGACCAGTTGTAGGTCCCCTGATTGGTTGTAAGTTGAGGACTACCTGGAGTCTTTCCAGTGCTAAAGATTTGCAGGCCCCAAATCCCAGATTCAATCATTTGAACTACTGTATCAAGGAAATAAGGCTATGTGATTACAAGAAAGAGAGATTACTTGGAGATTCATTCACTACTCTAGGGCAGCTTCGTACAATGATATAGTAAGCCATTCAGAGTCACCTCATGGTGAGGTTGAAGGCAAACAAATTTAATAATAATAAAAAAATAGAACTGGAACAAGAGAGGTTTTTAAGGGTATTTTGTAGGTTAAATGCGGGTAGCCCATAAAATTCTACATAATAACCTGCTTCCTGAAACATTTAGTTCTCCTGCAAATGAGGAGACCTCCTATTCACTGACAGAGCAAAAACAATTAATAAATGCTCAGCTTCTTTTGAGACCACGCCAATTACTACCTTTCCTTGGCTTGGCATAAAAATGCTTTGGAATCAGTCGATTTTTCAAAGAATGCTAGAATCAGTTGTAATGGGGAAAGGCAGCACATGTATATATGGTAACAGCTAGCTCAATTCCAAAAGCATGGACCAAAAGCAAATTGTATGGAACTGAACAAGTGATCTGAATCTAATTTTGGAGAGTAAAATCGACTGAAAATGCAATTTAAAAAAAATACTTTTATGTTTCTAAAATTTCAAAAGGAAATCTTTATCCATGATACCTTATTATACACAAAATCATACTCTTAATTAAAAACAAAAATAACTTATGGCTATGAATACCATTCACTCAAATAGATTTAGTATTTTTTAGGCTGATCAAATTTTCCATTAAAAGAGTATTTTGTACATTTCAAGTTATCAAAAATATATGTTGAAAATTAGATTCCTTTAATATTCTGTGTAAGAGCCAGTCCTCTTTTCAAAACACACACCTGGAGAGGCACGCAAAATACAGCAGTATTTTAAACATTTTTTAAAGAGACATGTACATGAAAATACTATTTGGGAGGCAAAATTCCCCAAGGAGGACAATTAACACACAGTATTTATAGTATTGTGCATCCATGTATGTACAGAAATTTAAAGCACACAAAACTGTGCATTTAATGTACAACTGAAAGTTTTAACATACACTCGGTTGCAAGATCAGCAACAAATTACAATAAGAATCAGAACAAGGACAAGCATTCAATGGCCAAATTGCTTTATATAGAACAAGGCCGGATGGTATTCAACAAGATTGGCTGAAAACACATTGCCTGCCTCCCAAGTTGCTGCACGCACACACGCACGCACGCACACATACACAACCAAAGGGGTGCATTTTTGGATCTCATGCTGGTTTAGTGGCAATCTTCAAAATATTGCCATTGCAGGTATCCATTCCGGCTGTTTTGAGATCAAGCTAATCCTGCTGTTAATATCTTACAAATCTCATTTACAATTTTTTTCCCCCTTTCCTAAGATTTTTTTTCCCCCTAAGGGAGAAGAGTAGGCATTATTCTGCCTAGTGGCTAAACTTTCAGACAAAAGAGTAAACATTGGGAAATATTACCTGGTTTCTTCCTTTAGATAGCTTCTTTGCTACCCAAATATACCATCTTTCGTAACATTCATATTGTTTCCCTGTCCACCTGAGCAAAGCAACAAAACAATGGTTGGTCCAGCTCACCAATCACTTGACTTAGAAGATACCCTCTGGCTTCAGAGGAATTATTCTGGAATAGCTGATTTAGGAATTTATCCCAGTTATCTTCCAGATTTTTTTAAAATAGGAAAACAACCCCCCCCCCAAAGTGGCCTGGTAACCATGCCTGCCCATCCCCCTTAGTAAGTGTGAGATAGGTCGTTCTTTTTTCACCCTCAATTATCTCCTCCTCTTGGATTTGAGAAAATGTAAGGAAAAATGAAAAATAAAACTCAAAGTGGGCCAGAACTGGGACACATTTCTACTGTATGCATACTGTGGAGCAGAGGTCTCCAACCTTGGCAACTTGTGGACTTCAACTCCCAACTGGCTGAGGAACTCTGGGAGTTAAAGTCCACAAGTCTTAAAGTTGCCAAGGTTGGAGACCCCTGCTGTGGAGCATTTGGCTTTTGTCATCAGTTGTACTGAAGAAAACATGGAGATTGTAACTGCGGCACTAAGCTTCTGGCTGTTTTACTAATTCAAGGGATTTTTTAAAAAATTGTAGGACAGTAATATCAGGAGAGCTGTTACTGCTACATGGGGTGAGATTGCAATGGGTGAAAGAAGAGGAAAGCAGACCATTTGCCACAGGAACCACATACAAATTTAAAAAATGTGCGTGGTCTGGGTGCATTGTGTGGGTGGGGGGCTGGGGAGGGGGGTTGTTCCTGTTGATGGGAAAAGTACACTCCTCCTGAAGAAACTCTGAATTGTGCAACATTTTTTTTTTCAAATATACCAGAAACCTTTCCATAAGGCAGCATATCTATATAATCTATATCTTTATTTATATCTACATGTATATAAACCCCAGTATCTACAAAATCATCTACATATCTATGCCTTCTATCTACATCCCATAACAGTCATGAGCCAAGCATTTAAAGAGTTGACCAGCAACTGAATACATCATTTTGGTGAGCATGTGTGTAAGATTTAGAATAAAAAGATGCATATATCTTTTCAAAGCATTAATATTTAAAGACTCTTGGTATTCATTTTGGGAATAAAACATTCCCTTCCCTGTATGTATGCATGCATGTATTTATGTACACCCATACATATCGAACTCCCTTTTCTCTTCACAGCATTTCAAATTTTCATTGGCTCCACTGGAAAAAAAATATTTACACTCCAACAAAGAAGTAGACATAACTTTCTGCATGCTTATGGTAGTTTCTAAGCATTAATGAAAATGTGGGTAACTAATCCAGCAGAAAACTGAGTGCTGTTGTTTTTGTGAGTGTGTGTGTGTGTGGGGGGGGGGGGACAGATTTCCTGCAAGTGAGCAGACACTAATGAATGCTAACTGCAAGTCTTGATAATAACATGGAAAACCTGGCATTTTTCCTTTAAATTGATAACTTGCTGCAAGTATTCACCTCTGCACATGCAAGAGATGACCAGTTCTTCTGTACACATCAGTGTATCCAACAACTTCTGTAGAGGTGATTTAGTGCATTCAAATGGCTCCAGGATCTGAGTGTCTCCTGATAAGGTTGGGGTCTTGATTATTCAAAGACTTGTAAGCATGCTTGGTTCCTTCTGCTTTCCCTAGATATCAGTAGGCAGAGAACTACAGAGGTACCCATGCTCTTGTGAATAGTGCAAGTAGATACTTTACATTCTGTGCAAAAACTTTTTGATGATGGCCACATTGACTTGATGATGGCCACATTGACTTGAGTAAAATTTTCATTTTGTTATCAATTAAACTTACCCAGAATGGCCTATACCCCTAACAGCAAAATCGTTTAATAGTACCGTCTCCTTCCCAGGTCCTGTAACGTACATTGATGATTCCCATGATACATTTCCATCTAAGAAGTGGTCCAAGGCAGTATTCCACAAGGCTAACTTCCCATCAAGAGCCACCTGGAGATGAGATCCTATATGAACATCTGTCTGCATACTGAGGAGTTGTATAAATTAAAGAGGATTCCAGTCCCAATGGTGTAATTTACATTCAAAATATTGAGATCAGTAGATTTCACAAGAAACAAAGATGAACTGTAATTGGGGGATCATCTCTTCAAAATAACTAATCAGTGAATTATGATGAAGAACCCACGCCATTACTCCTGAGTCTGCCCACAAATTTATGTGCTCATTCTTCATTTTTGGTAGGGTGAACTGTCAAGTCCCATTGACTGAACAACTGAAAAGTAAAAGAAGGGATAAGGTGAAAGACTTCCTTCCAAATAAGATCGCCAACTGAAGTTGTCTCTAAAACCATACCTGTTTATATCACTTAGCTGGGTTTCCACCTGAAGAACATTGGGAATTACCAACCAATAATGTTCAAAAATAATCTTGAAGAGAGAAAGTGGTCTGATTTAATGATTTAGGGGAGCTATATCCTGAAAGACATCTATTCAAATGGTATAGCTGAAAACTGCTGTAGGAGCAAAACTGCTCATAATCTTGTAGATATAAAAACCACAAACTAAAAAACAAAACAGTGGGTGTGATTTTTTTTTTTGCCTCCCAGTAAAATTTTGGGATCTTTTCAGTTATCTTTCCCACAGAACGTTACAATGGAGGGAAAAGGGTAAAGTCAGATAATCTTCTTCAAATTTGTTTGCAGAGACCTTTTTGGCTGCACCACTTGCATCTTGTTATTCTTCAAAATCAACTTTATTTTCTGAACAATTGTCTTTACTGATGTTGCGTTGCCCAGTCTGGTGAAACACAATAACTAGTTGTGTATAATAATAAATCAGCTCCTGGGGCCATGAATGCTACTCAATAAGCGAGGGACAAAGCTGACTGTCTAGGATGGGAAAATTCCATAGTGAAACATTTTAAGTTTCCTGAAAATTTCTTTTTCACATGAAAAAGATAACATTTCTTTCTGCCTTGTTAAGTATCCAATAAAGAGTCAAGAATCAGCCATCTAACTTTAGAAGTAGTGCAAGTAAGCATATATGCAAAAGTTAATTTTTACCCCCTATGTCTTTTCTTAGAAAACTATGCAGAAAATTTGCTCTCCATTTGGTAGAGACATGAGTTGGGACTTCTGCATGCAAAGTTTGTTTTGAAGAACTAGTCTTCCATTTGTGGTAAGTGTGATTGTATTTTGAAGGCAGGGCAGAGGAGCAGGGCAACTGAGCAACGTGATCTCTTAAAGGTCACTGCTGAACACTTCGGTGATGTTAGAACAAGACTGATCTTCTGCAATCCTGCCTTGACCCAAAGGGCTGTGCAAATCTGTATGATCTCCAGACTGGTTGCTACCTTCACTGGATAATGTGGTCTTGTAAGGCTCAACATATATTCTGCGGATGTTTGGCCTCAGTTCCTGGTATTTGTCTTTCCCTTCTTCTGGGAGACTTGAAGCATGAGGTAAGAAAGTAGTGCGGGGACAATCAATAGAAATGCTGATCTGCTCACCAGGAGTGGGCTCTTGAGAGTAGTCCATGGCTTGTGTGAGATGGGGAGTGTAGAGGCCTTCAGAAAGAGAGATAGACTGGGTTTCGCTATGTACACGGAGCCAGCGATGGTGTCGGCTGAAATAATTGTAGTGCTGATGTTTCCCATGTTTTTTCTTCCCTAGGAAACTCAAAGTTTGCTTTGAGACGGAATTCTTTTCTGGGTTTTTTGGTGAAAGTCTTCCAATGGACAGACTCTGCATGTTGTCTGTAAACTGATCAACTTCTGTCTCTAAGACACTACTCCCTCTTGGGTTTTGTTTTGGAGTCAAGCAAGGTTTGATGTCATGGACTTGGAGGACATCTGGGGCGCTACCACTCAAACAACTCACAGCCTGATGGGAGATATCCTGGGAGGATGAATAAACCAAATCCAGTTCTCGTGGACTCAAAGCATCGCTAGAATCATAGTCACTGTCGGTTGGAAGGAACACCTCTGAGCAACCTTCTTCATCGGAATATGGCTGGGAATCTGCAAAGAGAATAAAAGGGGTTAACCCTGAACAGTCCGCATGTCTTAACTGTGCACCTAACTACCCTCTACAGAAAAATGAACCTGAAGCCTTGGTAGTACAGTGGTTTAATGCACCCTGTTATTAACACAGCTGCCTGCAATTTCTGCAGGTTCGAATCTTACCAGGCTCAAAGTTGACTCAGCCTTCCATCCTTTCTAAAGTAGGTTAAATGAGGACCCAGTTTGTGGGGGCAATAAGCTGACTTTGTATAAATATACAAAAGTATGAAGGCTATTGCTTAACGCATTGTAAGCCGCCCTGAGTCTCCGGAGAAGGGCGGCATATAAATCAAATTTTTTTAAAAAAAGGTTTCTTTGTTACCAAATAAGGGAGTCCCTACGGATTTTACTCCGCTAGTTGTTGCTGACTATAGGGGGCAACGTGCATCTCCGTTTCAAGGCCAGTGAGCCAGTGCTATCCGAAGACATTTCCGCAGTTGTGGCAGCATGACACCACAAAGTGTTGTAACCTTCCCATCTATTTATTTATTCACATCTGCATGCTTTTGAACTGCTAGGTGGGCAGGAGCTGAGGTGAAGATGGGAACTCACCCTATCACATGGTGCTCGGATCTCAAACCTGGGCTGCTGTCTTTCCAGCTAGCAAGCCCAGCTTAGTGTGATACATGAATTCAGCTGACGTCTTACTTCTTAACCTTTGAACCACTGCACTGCTGTTGTTACTGAATACATTTCTATAAATATGAAGAGGAGAACTTAAGGACCATTTCTGATGTTCCCCTTTAGTAGAGGACATGGAGGAATGTATTACTAAAAATAGTGATGTTGATCAGGATGGGATTGGTGGGATCATGGTCCTTTGATGAGATAACTTTAATACTGCTTGCTCAGGTATAGCAGGATCCTCTTTTGTTCTGAGAAGGAAGCTAAGCATGCTGGTCTCAAGACTGTGTAGAATTACTTGCCCATTGAATATAGAAGGCTCCATTGAAGAAATAACAAAAGGGGCTTCTTCTGAAATTTTTTTTACTCAGGAATAGTCTCTGCTTCTGAGTAAAAGTCTTATTCAGCACCCCCCCCTTTTTTTTGTAAAGCCCTTTCTAGGGCTCTGCAATCCAGCCTGTTATGGAGCTCAGCCTTCTCTTCTAAATTACTACTTGCTATAAACGTTGAACTTCATTCACATATTGTCCTAAATCAGAATATAGTTTCTTTAATTTTGGCTTAATAGGATGACTAAATCCAACTGCTTTGCATTATAATTTGTGGTCTGTAGCTTAGTTTTATGGGTGAATTTAGTTAATGTAGCTTATTCAACAAGCCATGATTAAAAATATGGCTTAGTGTGATACATGAATTCAGCTGATGTCTTATTTCTGATAGGGCTACCATTTCTGGATTGTGAACATTCAGATGGCCACTGAGAATCATTCTGATACTTTTCAGCCCAGAAATGCTAGTCCTATAATTTTTGAGTTACCTGTTTAGTGAAATCTTGGTTTTTGATTCTTGGACCATGTCCTGCACCTGCTTTTGATCTCTTGATTTTGTTTGATGCTTCATCTCTTGTTTGGCATGGACTTCGGATAGGTTGATGACCTCACCATGAATTATTGGCTTTATGTATTCTTGACTTCTCTATCAGTCTTTATATCCAATTGTCCAGCCCCAGGACAATAAGAGCTATTATACTTTTAGGCTTGCTTAAAACTATTCCTCTCATTTGTATGCTTTAAAACTCTGATAACATATGAGGAAACAAGGAATCCAATAGAAGAATGCCAAATGAATGGCTGTTGTGCTAGACATATTTTCAGAGCAAAAGTAGGTCATAAACAGTGCCTAATTCTGCAGTGCTTTTAGTCTGAATGGAAATCTGTATAAGCTCTACTCTGAAATTTGTTTATGATAACAAACAAAAGCTATGTTTAATCACTATGATTACTCATTTAGACCCTGGATGCTAAATTCCACTAATATTAAGACAAATAGGTTAACAGATTTTTTTCTCTTCCGTTCAAACAGAATTTAGAAAAATGCAATTATGTTGCTTGAAATCTGAATGATTTGCATAATATACGGTGCAGAGTTTTAACTCCACTAAATGGGACTATAACAGTGATGGCTAACCTTTTTTTCCTCGGGTGCCAAAAGTATGTGCGTGCCCACAGCCATAATGCAATGCCTCCCACGCACACCCTGTCCCTGCGCATGTATGCGCAACCTCCCCGTGCTATCCCGCCCTGTGCATAGGCCTGTGAGACCATCCACACTCCCCCTGCACATGTGCGTGCAACCTCCCTGCACCCTGTTTTGGGCCTAGCAGGCCTCCCTGAAGCCTCCAGAGGCCAGAAACAGCCCATTTATGGACTTCCAGTAGGCCCGTTTTTCGCCCTCCCAGAATCTCTGTGCGAGACCTGTACTTACTTGGCATCCAAAACAGGCCACGTGGAGACTCCTGGGAGGGGAGGGACAGCATGGGCATGCGTGCACATCTCCCGCATGCACGGTAGAGACCCGAAAATCAGCTAGCTGGCGGGAGGCACGCGCGCATGCGTGGTGGAGCTTACCTAGGGCGATGGCTCGCGTGCCTGCAGAAATGGCTCCACGTGCCACCTGTGGCATGTGTGCCATGGGTTTGCCATCACAGGACTATAACCTGTTCAAAGACTTGATTATATTACTGTTGATAAATTTTGGTGTGCAGGGGGACAAGTATGTTAGACTGGACAGAATTGAAAGTGTACTCTTATCTGCCAGATCTGGGTTCCACTGTACAGTGGACCAGCTTGCAAAGTGCGAAAAGGGAGTTGTTTATATCAGCATTCCCCAACCTTTCCGTCTTGGTGGACTGGCTGAGGTGGCAGTGGGGGGGGGGGAGAGGGGATGGTTTTGCATGCTTGCGCTGCTTCCATGAACGCAGCTTTGTGCACGTGTGCGCGCTCGCCTGTCAGTTCCACAGCTCAGTTCTGAACAGGCTGTGGCCCAGTACTGGGTTGCGGATTGGGGGTTGGGGACCTTGGTTTACATGGAATAAGGGGTCCAAGCACTAACCCTGCTTCTGGAGCCTTTCTAGTGATGTGAGCTGTGGGTGCCATTAAAAGAGAACAGAGAAAGGGATAGATGGGTGGATGTACATAGGTAAGACTCAGACCCTGATGGGGAAAATCGGCCCTTGGAATGATTTTTTCAACACTGGCTCTTCAAGAAAATTGAGCCTGGAACCTACCACACTGGGAAGCTAAAAGGGATTATGACAAGGTTTGGGAGAGGCTTCCTTGGAGCCTCGGTGATGCAGTGATTAGAGTGCAGTACTGCAGGCTACTTCTGCTGACTGCCGGCTGCCTGCAATTTGGCAGTTCAAATCCGATCAGGTTCAAGGTTGACTCAGCTTTCCATCCTTCCGAGATGGGTAAAATGAGGACCCAGATTGTTGGGGGCAATATGGTGACTCTGTAAACCACTTAAACAGGGCTATAAAGCATTGTGAAGCGGTATATAAGTCTAAGTGCTGTTGCTTTCCCCACCCTTCCGATGTTTCTGATGCATCATAAAATGTAGCTCAGTCTTTGGACCAATCAAATACAACCCCTGTTGTTACTCAGAAGGCAATTAACTTTTTCTTACTAAAGGGGGAAAGCATAGAAAAGCTTGCTGCTTGTTTTTTCCGGCATTTTCTGGACTGCCTAACTTTAGACAGCCAGTCTAACCTTTGGGGACTTTTGCCAGCTGCAGGAGCTTGGATTCTTTGGAAAGTCCCAGGCTGGTACGTGATGCCACTCATCTGTTCCCAACACAAAATGGAGAGACCAGACAAGCGCTGAAAAAAAAAAAAAAGCTCCCAAACCAAACCAAAATAAAAACAAGCCTTCAATCTCAGAACGCAAACATCAGCTGCATAGGCTTCCTCCAGTAGATTTATTCTGATGCTAGGCTGTTTGTGAAAGAGGCTCTGTATTTATGTGCAGATCTCAGTTTTCAGTCTGCATGACATGGGAAATAATTCATATCAATTTGTTACCTGAACTGTCTACTGGGGCAGGGAGGTAAAGAATATTGTTTATGAGCAGTGTGCTTCTGTATTTGTACGCTGGATGGATACAGGGGTCATATATATTCTGCTAGGACAAATCGGGCAAAATGGAAGAAGGTAGAAGAATAGGAATTCTTGTACTGCGGGCCACTGAGTTCAATGGAACGTTAACCCCCTCCTCGTGCTTAGCAGAACAGTTCTGCCTGGTCCTTTTCCAGATAGAAAGGATAATTGTTATCTAATACATATGGAGGGCACTGGTTGGGGAAGGCTAGCATACAAATTTTTACCATTTGATTCCTTTACTATTGTTATTATTTTTTTTTTAATCATGTGAAGCGCAGTGGCTCAGTGGCTTAATGACACTGGAGATGGTCTTTGCTCCAGCGGTTCAAGTCTTAGCACTGCGTGGCAGGGGAAGGGGTGAGCTTCCGTACCTTGCCTCAACTTCTGCCCACCTTGCAGTTCGAAAGCATGTTCTGTGCAAGTAGGTAAATAGGTACCACTTGATGAGGAGATCAGTTGGTGCTCTGTGCAGGCAGTCAAATGGTTACGGTGCCTATTTACAAGGCAGCTCTGGGGAAGGGAGGAGGCCTAAGTTGAAACTGCAGGAAGAACTGCTTGTTTTTCTTTCTGGTGCGAAGCCAGCTCGCCTGCTTGTGGCACATCATGGGAAGTGCGCAAGAGTATATCTGACAGAGCTGGTAAACAGGCAGCCAATGGCTAATGTAACAGTGCCATATAGTTGTTGTTGTTGTTGCTGCAGGTCTGTGTATTACATATTTTTCATTCCAGTATTGTATAATAATTCCTTTAGGCAACTCTCATGCCCCCCCCCCATGCATAATTCTTCATATTTTGATCAAGTTTTAAGAATGAAGAACATATGGATCTTTAACATACAGTGATTGATCCAGAGTCATGTTAATAATTCTGTGGATGTCATCTCCAAATGAAACAATAACAAAACAAGTCCAGATCAAATACGTTAATATTTTAGCTCCTGAGTTATGTTTCCAATATCAGGAAGATGACATTTATTTAAACTAGGCTGAGCTTTTGTGCTCATGTTAATTGAGCAGAGGATCAGTTCTAGTCATTAAAACCTACATACACAAACACACAGGGATAATGACTGAGAAAAAAAGGCCAATAATTGGATGATTATGTACCACCGGCCAGCAAAAGTAGCACTGGTTAGCTCATGCGTGGCAATGCAGAGATTTGTGGTGCAGTGTGAAAAAAGTTTTTGAGGGTTGGATATGATGTAACATACCCAGAGATGCTCAAGCAGAATAGTTTTAATACTGATTACAATATAGCATATGAGTTGTGCTTATGCTACATTGATCACATTGACGGGGGAATTTAGGAGCCAAGGCTGCCAAATTAGAGAAGGGAACTCTTCAGAATAGCACTTAGACTTATATACTGCTTCACATTACTCTAAGCAGTTTACAGAGTCAGCATAATGCCTCCAACAATTTGGGTCCTCATTTTACCGACCACGGACGGATAGAAGGATGAGTCAATTTTGAGTCAGTGAGTTATAGATTGTCCCATGTTTTCCCCAAAACAAGTACCTGTTTTATTTTATTTTGCCACCAAAAAAGGCACCAGGTCTTATTTTCGGGGTGGGGGGAGATGTCATGTACTGACTCACCTCACTTGTGCATGTCACCCCCAGCCTCCTTTTCGCTGTCAGAGGCCTTCAGGAATTTCTTCGGCCAGCAAGGCCAGCAAGGCATTCCTGAAGGCCTCTGCAGCTGATAACAGAGCTCCAGATTGATCTGGTAGTATCAATCTGGAGTAGTAGGTACTCCAATGCCCTACTACTACCAATGAAGGTAGTAGTAGGGCAACGCCACCCCCCATCCCCACTCTAGCTTAATTTTTACCCGTGCACTAGGGGTGGGTTCTACTTACCTTTACTACCGGTTTGCAACGGGATCGCTTCGCTCACACATGCACCTTGCTTCTGAGCATGTGCATAAGCTTCTGCGCATGCGCAGATTGCTTCTCATGACATCAGAGTCACTGGGCGGATTCTCCCACTGGTTTTACTACCGGTTCTATAGAACCAGTCCGAACCGGGGGCAACCCACCACTGCCGTGCACCCTGGAGTGGGTGGGGTCTTAATTAGGGCTTATTTTGGGGAGGGGGAGGGTTTATATTGGGCGCACATGTAAAAATCAAGCTAGGACTTACTTTCGAAGTAAGTCATATTTTCGGGGAAACAGGGTAGCAATAGCAATAGCACTTAGACTTATATACCACTTCACAGTGCTTTACAGCCCTCTCTAAGCAGATTACAGAGTCAGCCTATTGCCCCCAACAATCTCGGTCCCCGTTTTACCCACCTCGGAAGGATGGAAGGCTGAGTCAACCTTGATCCAGTGAGACCCGAACTGCCAAAGTGCTGGCAGCTGGTGATGAGCAGAAGTAGCCTACAGTCCTACATTCTAACCACTGCACCACCACCACGGCTCATAGATAGATAGATAGATAGATAGATAGATAGATAGATAGATAGATAGATACATGGATAGATAGCTACATATAGATCAGTGGTGGGTTCCTCCCGGTTCGGCCCAGTTCTCCCGAGCCGGTAGCGGTGACGATATGATATCACCGAACCAGTTCTGCCCCCCCACCCCCTGCTCCCCACGTTATTTTTACCTTTTATTTGGCCCCACCCCCAATCTATTGCTGCCTCCTGAGTCCCAGATGATGGCTAGAGGGAAAAAAACTGTTTAAACTCTTGCTGCGGGGCTTCAAAGGGCCGTGTTTAAAAGAAAACAAATGAGTAGACCAGTGCCTGCAAAAATAAATGGGTAGACCAGTGCCTGCAAAAAATAAATGGGTAGATCGGTACAGCTCTGCAAGCAGTTAAAAGCCTGGTAGACCAGTACCTCTGCTAAATCCTAAATAATTGTCACATGACCATCAAGCCTCGCCCACAAAATAAGCCACGCCCACAGAACCGGTAGTAAAAAAATTTAGAACCCACCCCTGATAGATAGATAGATAGATAGATAGATAGATAGATAGATAGATATAAATAGATAAATAGATAGATACATACATAGATAGATAAATAGATACATATAGATATAGATAGATAGATAGATAGATAGATAGATAGATAGATAGATAGATAGATAGATAGATAGATAAGACAGACAGACAGACAGACAGACAGACTGACTGACTGACTGACTGACTGACTGACTGACTGACTGACTGTGCTTCCCTGGTTAATTTGACTGAATAATATGTCTGGAGTGGAGTCCTATCATAGAGATGCCAAATCCAGTGGGAAATGTAACACAGCCACTTTGAGTTCTTTAGATAGCTCTAGCTTACAGTGGTGACTAAGTCCTACTGAATCAGAAACGGTGGAAAACCTTGTGCCTTGATGAAAGAGACGATGATATTTTCCCCTTACCAGCTTTTCTCCTTGGCATCTCCATCTCTGGGGAAGGAGGTGGGGATGGAAGACAGTCAAGATGGGAGGATGTGGAGCTTATTTTTTTCTGCAGGGGTTCCTCTGAGAGATCCAGAATTTTCACGAGAGGCAAGCCAGAGGTTGTTGGTCTGTACCGTGCATACTGCAATGCTTCATTGATCCACCTCATTTCCCGCCAGATCTCATCAATTTGCTGCATGAGGAAGTAATACAGACATATTTTCACAAGGAAACTCTTGTTTTATTTTGACAACTTTAATTGATTTCTGTTAACTGCGAGAGAAAGATAATCCTAGTAGAATTTGATAATGATCTTCAAGATGAACTGACTTCTCATGCACTCAAGATTTTTTACACGATACCTTCTCCTTCCCATTTCCCAGAGCATTTGCATTTTATTTGCATGATTAATTTTGGCCTAGCTAGGAAACCAGATTTCTATGAGTTCTGACTTTCTGAGCTTTTTGGAGAGATGATAGAGTTTTTTAAATATCTGTTACAAAAATGGTCAGAAGTAATTATGTTTCATAACTTTGGTGTTTTTTTTCTTCTCTTGTTTATTTTCTGGCAACTCTTTTTCCTTTTTTCCTTTAGATTTGTTTTTTACTCTATGCAAAATCTTCAAAATAACTAGCTAAATAAATAAAATCGATTCTCAGACCCTGGATATAATTTAAGGTATTAATTAGATTCTTTGCCGTCAAGCATATCATATCCTACATTTCTTGGCAACTACCATAAAGGTCTAGTGCAATTCCTTAAAAACAAGGAAGATGTGCACATTGTCACCTGTGATCTAGTGTCCACAGGTATATACTAAGCTGTGCCTTGATAGATGGATACACAGCTATTTCATGTGGGCATTTCCCAAATGTGTTGGGGGGGGGAATGTTAAAACATGTGAGAAGGTATTACCACACACATGTGGTGATGTTCCAGCTTGTTAATAAATTAATAAATAAATAACTTTATTGTCATTGTGCGTGTTTACACAGTATACCCATACAACGAAATTCACTTAACACCTAAAGACCAGGTCCAATACACATAACAATCCCCAAACACACTCCCACCCACCACAATTCTCCACCCCTAAACCACCCAAACATCCACACAACAGACCGAGTAATACTGTCCAACAGCTCACTGATAGTGACCCTTGTTACAAGTTCAGCTACTGTATATTCATAGCTCTTTATTATCCCCTTTTTACAGGTACATTAATATTGCCTATAAATAAAATAGGGAAATTAATTAAAATCTTAGGAGAGAAAACATGGAAAGCAAAACTCAAATTTGTAAATAAATAATGGAACATTGTCTTAGTTTTAAAAAACCTTTGAATAACCATTGATTGGAATAGTATTCACAATAATTTCCAAGTTTGTTACACGGTGCCATGCTTTTCTGTTTGCATTTTAAAAATTTTGCTGGTTTTTTAATACTTGTTTTTTCTTTTGCAAACTAACTATTTGCCATCCAGAGTCATGGGCAGTCATATAAATTTTGTAAATGAATAAACAACCAAATAAATCTACCTCTCGTGTGATGTTATCCAGTTTATTTTGATGTATTTAATAGAACAAAAGTACAGCTGCTTGATTCTGACTATGTCTTTAAGATGCCTGATATATAATAAGGCACAGTTACTTTACTTTACTTTACTTTATTCAAATTTCTATACCGCCCTTCTCCTTTCGGACTCAGGGCGGTGAACAGCCAAGATAAAAACATCTATACAAAACATCACAGTTAAAAAATAAAGTTAAAATAATTTATAAATTTGGCCCATAATTTAAAACTTGTCAATTTAAAATCAATATTAAAATTTTAAAACAGTTAAATGAAGATTTACTTTTAAATTTAGCTTCAGATATTTGTTGTATTTTAGTCAATCCTGAAAAAAGTTCTTTTCTCACAATTCCATAGCTTAGTTTGCTACAACGTATTCATTGCCTATTTATAATTTTTACTATCTCGTTTCTCACCAGTTCCTGTTTCTGAATACTGTTTATGGGCTCCTTGATTCTTTACAGTGTTTGGATTGTATAGTGACTGACTTAGATCTAGGATCATACAAATGTTCTTGTGGTTTTGCGGTTGCGGCTGAAGATTGTGGTATGTGGTAGAGTGAATTAATGTTTCTTTCCCCCCTTTTCTGTTGCCAGTAGGAGGAATACAGCTGGTTTTCATTTGAGAAGGAACCTGACAGGTCCAATATGCTGTCACAGTAATTTGGTACAAACATAGTGGTTTAAAAAATGGCCACATTTTCATCAATCATAAACAATCATGCAACCAGGACGTAAATTTCTGTCTTCTCTATGAAATGTTTGTCAGGAGCAGAACAGACCTCCTCACTTGTTAGAATCTTTAGCATTCGGTATGTTATTTTTTTAAAAAAGTCTTAAAACAATTAACAGTGTGTGAATGTATATAATAATTTATGTCTTCTACTTTTTTTAGCATAAGTACAAGGTTTCATTGTCTTCGTTTATCAAGTTTTTGACTGCAGTTTGTTTTTAAAAATATAGAAATGAAAGCATTGCCAACAATTATTTACATATCTCCCTTAAATCACACTGTACTCACTAAAGCACCAAGAAGGAACAAATAATTAGTGCAACAATTGGCATAAAACGAAATCTCTTTATGGGGTGATGAAGCTGCTGGGAATGTAGAGTTAAAAGTCAGGGGTAAGAGGAATAGATAACCTATGAAATGACCTATCTGGATGGAGAGAATTAGGGAACAGGTGGATTGGGTAAAATTAGATTAATACAAGTAAATTTAAATATGGTTAAAAGCTTTCTCTATATTAAGTGGTGTGGAAAAGAAGGCATTTGTTTCAGAGTTTTAAACCAAGGCCTATTTAATACAGCTAATGATTTATTTACAAGATGTAAATAATGTGATAGTAATATCACAAAAGAGAAATGGATTGTATCCTGGATTCAAATTTAAGATTACTTGAAACTATCAGAAGTGGCTAAAGAAAACTGCCAATATAAACTATATTTTAAAAAATGGATTGAGTTTGTATCATCAAACTGGGGTTGATTCATAGCAACCACATTGATAGATTTTTCTCTAGGACAATCTATTTCCAATCTGGTCCTTCAGATCTTCCAATGGTCCCGTTGTGAACCGGTAGTTAAGTTAAGTAGAACCCACCCCTGACCTGGATTACTTAAGAATCTCCATAGACATCCTTCTACCTTTGCTTGATTTCTTGGACTCATTTACTCTCAGTTACTCTCCGCAATGTGCAGCTTTTGCTCACACGGGAAGAGGCATGGGTTTCAGATAATCCTCAATTTACGCCTGTAATGAAACCTTCCCATTATGACCGTAAGTGGTGAAAGCTGTAACGCAGGTCATCATGTCACTGATGCAATTTTATACATTGTTTATGGTGGTTATTAAACAACTCACCATGGTTGTTAAGTGAACCCATTGTTTGCTATGGGGTATTTTTTTGCCAAAAAATGGAAATAAACACTGTTGTTCAGCAAAATTGTTGTAAATCATGGACATGTGACTGCAAGACACTGCAAAGGGCCATAAATGCAGAACTGTTATATGCCCGAAATATATTAATGTGACCACAGGTTAGGGCTGCAACCATCCAAACTTTGGAAGAAGGTTGTAAGTACCTTGGATGGAGGGCTCTTGTAACTCTGAATGGTTTCTAAGCAAGCAGTCATAACTCAAGGACTACCTGTATAACCCCAACTGACAGATTTTTCTATAACACTTCAGTCATATAATTTCATCCCTGAGATTCACTCGTAAAGTAAGCAATTTGAACAAGACGGGAGGGAAAAGTGAAATAAAATCTTCATAAAACTTAAGTTATATTTTAACAGTCACCTCTTTATGCCTTGCCTCACCCAACAAATCTCTGCTTAGGTTCCCAAATGCCACCCCTGCCAGAAATTCAGCCCCGACTAGTGAGAAAACAGATAGTTACCTGTATGTAATCTAGGACTTGTTGGTGTCTTAGTTTAGCAGCAGCAACTTCACTGTCTGAAATGGCTTCCCTTAGGGACTGCTGGGTGCTCAGAAAATCTAGCTCTATGACAGCGGAAAGGCGGCAATAGAGACTAATAAATTTTTCCTTGTAACTGCAGAAATGAACTGCGGAGACAACAAAGCACAGAAGTAAGTGTATTAAAGGGGGGGTCCCGCAAAGACTTACCTTTTGAAGGAGCTTAATCAAGATCAGTTGCCATAGCTTACATTATTCCCTGAAAAACAAAAGATTATGCGAAGAGCTGAAACTACAGAAGGGTTTTTCACTGTTACAGTGAAGACACAAAAGCATCGTGTAGGGCCTTAACATCAAACAGAATTATGTGGCTTAAGCTTTTGTGGATCAGAGACTACCACAGGTATTAAAATAGATTAGCAGACTAGAAAGATAGCCGTCATATATCTCACTTGCATATCTGGCTGTATTTATTGTTATGTTTTGGATGTACTGAAGACCTGCCTTGAAATTTTACAAAGTGATTCCTCATCATTGTCCTTTATTGTATTCTGCTTGGTCTCGACTGCATCGTTCTGCATTGCCAATGGCCCCCTAAGCATCTCTGCATCTTACCACATTTAAAAGCTTTTGCCACACTTGCTCTATTGATCAGGCCTGTCAAACTGGCAGCCCATGGGCCGGATACGTCACGCGCAGGCCACGCCCACCCCAGCTCCGCAAAGGCAAAAAAATGCCGCGAGATACGTCGCAATCCGACCTATGATGCTATTGAGTTTGACACCCATGCTCTATCTATTAAGTCCTTAGGGAAGGTCAAAATGATTTTTTTCTACTGGATAGTTTCCTGTCGATGTAAAGAGTAAGCAAGCTTCAAATGTACACAGAAATCTCAATCGGGCAGAATGAAAACGCAAGCAAGAGTATGCTTGGACATAGGAGTTCATCAGGCATGGAAAGCCAGATAAAGCTTTCTGCTTCAGATACTATGCTTCATAGACTGAAAAATGACCAGGGGTTATTCATGCATCATTTGAGTAAAATCTACAAAGTTGTGTTGATGTAATCATAAGCTCATCATTGATGAGTTTATGCCAATAAATAACTGCTTTGTCTCAGTTGTGTATCAAATGAGCAGTAAAATCCATTCTAAATTGTACTTGACTCCTTGGTCTATGCTACATAACCAACTCAAGGACAATATTCCTAAACAGGCCTTCCATTCTTTATTATGCTTAAAATAGTCAGCATCCATGGATAATGGAAGTTCTAGTTCATTTGAAGGGCACAGCTTCCTATACTCATTATACTTACATCACTTTGGTTCCTGCAGTGAAGTAGAGGTTCACATCTATCTATAAGAATTTCCTACAGATGAAGATGCTGGGCCATAATATTTTTCTGTCTCAATAGGACACACACGAGGTAGTGATAATTAAGATCTTAGTCCACCCAGAGTAGCAATTATCTCATTACAAATTCATCAAGTCCTTATACATAAGAAAAGACCAAGGTAAATGAATGTGTTATGAAAGAATCGGTGTTCAGCTACATAATGGATCAAGGAAAGAACACTAGATACTGTCATAGACCATATCAGACTCTCTGTCCACTTCTCCATGTTTTCAATCTTGCCTAGAGCAGGAAATAAGTAGAAGGTCCTAATTCCATGTTGTTGTTATTGTTTAATGTTATTGTTTAAGTTTAGGAATATACCACATTTTTCAAGAGAGAGCTACCAATTTCAAACTTTGATTCTTCCCCCCTCCCCGATTTTTTGAACACTATCGGTTTAGATCATGATATAGAATATTCTTCCTCTTTGTTTTCACCCAGATGTATTAGAATAAACTCTCATAATTCCCAGATAGTACATTTGGAGAATACCAGGTTAATGAAATATATGGATTGAGATGAGACTCAGATTTGTGAAGGGTTATTGAACAATACTACCTCTGTGCTCTGCCTGATAAAGAGCTCCATGCAATTTGAAAGTGCACAAACTTTCATTACATCTACAGATACTGACCCAATTAAAAAAATAATTGTGTATTCCTTTCTGAATATGGATTTTCAATTCTGGTTAATCATGGTGCTTCTCCTCCCTACCCCCATAAAACTGAAAAAGAAAATACAACAGCAATAACAAAAAATGAAGGGGTGCAAGTTTGCATTTCTGTTCATGCTGTTCATGACTTATAAAAAAAGCATCTTGCCAGATTTACATCTTAGGTGTGATAATATATTGATTGGAGAAACTCCATTAAACATTATTTCTGTCTCCAAAATAGAAAGAAACGCTGCAGAGCTAAACCTGGACTACCCCCTCACTCTTTGATCATTTTCTGTTCTGAACAATTACTACAGGCAACCACGAAGCACATCCTACAGGCAATTATGTGTGTTTCATTAAAGCTTTCTCAGATAGTATCAGCTCTACACACACTGGCTTCTTCTTACACAAACTATAACCACTGTGGGTTAATACTGAATATTTATTCACATGCAATGAAAACCCAATAATAGAAGGAAAAGGCCTTTGCCACACGTTGAATTCAATCTCCAAAACGGTACTTGGTGCACACAAGAGTGCAAAGTCAGCAGCATCTCTGTGCAGCTTATTAAAGCAGCTTTCTCAGAAACAGGCCATAGTCTTTTACAGGTGCTACAGGATCCAAGGAAAGGATTAGGCTGCTTTAAGAAGTTTCAGACAGGTGTTGCCATCATGCTCTGTGGACAACTAGGGAAGTTTCTACAAAAAGCTTCTCAGTGTCATGACAGCAGTTTATGTAAGCTGATCTAAATGTGGGTTATGTGCCATCTTCTCAACAAAGCTCTCCATTGACATAGTTAGCCTCTGGTGGACTTTTTTTTTTTTTTTTGGCATTCACTGGATCGCCATCATACTCTACTTACAAACTTCCATGATCAATGCTGCTTGTTTAGGCTCAGCCCATATTTTGCCTCAAAACATCCCACATTGAATGTCCGGCATCTCCAGAAACAACTATTAAAGAATCCTACTTAAAATCTTGGCAACCCACTTCCAATCAGCAGTGTCAAAAATACAAGGAAAGTTGCAGTAATAGGAAAACTGTAATACTGTAGATTCTTATGGTCCTGCCTCTAACCCTTGGATGTTAAACTCAAGGCCCAGGGGCCGGATCCGGCCCTGGGGGTGCTTAGATCTGGCCTGTGGGGCTGCCCTGGAAAATAGAGAAGGACCAACCCGTGGTGCCTCTGCCAGTGAAAATGGAGCTGGAGAGGGCCATGGGCAGCCCTTGCAAGCTCCATTTTCGCTGGGAGACTTGCAAGAGGCCATCACAGCCGAAAACAAGAGCCGCAAGAGCCATGAGTGGCCCTCCAGGGCTCTGTTTTCGATGGCAGAGGGTTGCAGGAAGCCGTCGCAGCCAAGAACGGAGCTCAGGAGTCCATTTTCACTGGCAGAATGCTCGGGCCACCACAGGCGCCCCCGACACGAGTGATGTCAAACTGGCCATGCCCACTCTGGCCATGCCCCACTCTGCCCCCCCTGGAAGTAAAACACAACCCTGATGCGGCCCTCAATGAAATTGAGTTTGACACCCCTGCTCTAACCTAACATGGGTAGCAGCCTAGAGCTAGCAACTAGTCATGGTGCAAATTCAGTGGGTGATTTGTTTAGCATTGAATATTTGAAACACTTCAGTAATCTCCTTAATAGAATTTTAACTTCCCTCAATTGTTTTATAGGTTCAGCAGGTTTTCTATTGTTTTAAAGCTATACCTGCAGTTGAATGTCACCATCTCCTTTTAATTGCTTGAAAACCCGTGGGGTTGTTTTAACCTAGATATATATTTTAAGATTTTCCCAAGCCCTTTATATCCCTCTCTGATCATGCCAACATATTTTTCAGCCGTGTCTGAAAAAATGAAAAAAAATCAGTACTGACTTTCCCCCCATCATCTTCCAACAGGGCTAATTTCTCTGAGCATCTTGGAAGACTCACAGCTTACCCTACACAGGTGGCACTTTAGCAAAATGACAATTGCTGTTTTAGCTTCAGAGCTGCATCTCCTTTACTGTGGTGTGGTTTGAAAACCAGGCCTATAATGTTGGTGTAACAAATGTTAACTTTAGCAGAGTCATCTGTGGTTTCACAGTTAAAGATCCAGTAGCCACCAACTAATAGGGAGTGGAAGTTTCCAATATTTGGGAGGTGAATCACAGCTATTTTATAGGCACTAGGGGAAAATGTGCAATAAATCAGAAAATGGCCTCTGCTCGAGGGCATGAGATCAGTTACTTTTTGTTTGGAAAGTAAAATTGAGCTGTTAGTAGAATTCTCCCTGGAGTGCTTACGACTCCCGCATTATAAATTCACCGCATTGAGACAAATGAGAAGAGCAGCCTCAATTCTTATTGTTTACGTCAAACTGCTTTACTACCTCTGTTGCCTGCGCAGAGCTAGAGCGGATATAAAATGCGCTTCTAGTCCTACTGGAAACATCACGATTTCTGGATGTACTTTTTTTGTACAGTAGCTTGGAGTGCACTTAAATGGCTACTGAGAATGAGGGTTGCATCTCTGGCGGGGTGAGTTGAGCTTGATGCGCCTACGCTCCTCCTTTTTTCCCCATGAAAAATATGAAAAAAGGAATCTCTGCATTTTGCTGCCAAACTTTAGCAGCACCTCTAGGGACTTCCTGGGTTTTACAAAAAGGAATAAGGGATGTACAAAGTCTAACCCTAAGCCTCAATGGCCAAAGCCAATCCTTTTATACCAAGTTGAACACCGGATGCTTGGCCCTGTTGGCAGGGGAACCTGTGAATTGTAATCCCAAGGCATCTGGAGATTACCAGCTGGGAACCATTTGCTTTGAATCCTACAAGTAATATTTTATTGTGGGAATGGGCAGCATGGAGCCATGAGCAACAGGGCTATTTCTCGGCAGTCTACCAAACTCCAAGCCTTTACCAAAATATCATTTAATTTAAGAATTAAACAGAATACTGAAATACAACGTAGGGACATCTAGCACCATAGTGTTGACAATCACACCTTACAATAATGGTAAGAACATCCCCTAGGGCTAGTTTGCCTTCTGGTTAATGAGCGTTTTGTAACTGGCCATGTGTACAAGCAATAGCAATAGTACTTAGACTTATATACTGCTTCACAGTGCTTTACAGCCCTCTCTAAGTGGTTTAAGAGTCACCATACAATCTGGGTCCTCATTTTACCGACCTTGGAAGGCTGAGTCAACCTTGAGCTGGTGAGGATCGAACTCTTGGCAGTCAGCAGAGTCGCCTGCAATACTGCATTCTAACCACTGTGCCACCACAGCTCTTGCCAGCAGATTGTGAATCAGCAAATCACTTTGTGAGTGTGCTAATCAGATTCTCTCAAAATTATAAATGTGTCCCTGACCCGATGGAATCAAAGTCGATCTAGTTCAGCTTCTTATCTTTTCTGGTTGTATCTGGGAATCTAGACGTGGAGGAAGCAACCCCTTTTCCGCTGTTGTTCCCCAGCCCTGGTGATCAGGGCAGCTATTCTTCCAAACAAATGAAATGGAATTACTCCAGAAAAACAAAAACAAAAACCCACTGCTCTCTTCCAGAATGACTCCTAATTAGCAACATTTGTCACAGAAATGCTTTCTCTCCTATATAAAATGACCGATGCATACATACATAATGGATGTATTTGTCTGAGCTCCAACTATTCTGCGTAGGCAAATAGCGGCAATTATGAAGAACATCAAAATCACTGCTAAGCCAGACCGACCCACTTTGCTTTGCTGATTAACTCATTTCAGAATGACCTGATTCTGCATGCTTTACTACACTCAAGGGTTGTGTGTTGCGTGATATCTGGCTGGCTTCTTCAGGCCGGGAATGATGACTAGCCCTCATAACCTAGTTAGCGGGTCTCTCTCTCTCCCCCCTCCCTCCTCCCTCCCTCCCCCCCTCTCTTATCTGGAGTCAGAGAGAAAAAGTGATGTTGCCAAGAAATCACATGATTTATTGACTCTCCGCTGAGGAGGGGGAGGCAGAGACTGGATGGGGGAAACAGATCCAACCTTGTGATTTTATTGTGAGGCAAGTGGGTTAATATTTCTAGGAGAACCAAGGTAGTATACCGAGTTCAAACATCTGAAGAGGGAGGTTAAGGAATCCTGTGTGAAGGGTGTAAGGGTTGTTCTGTCCTGGGGCAGTGCAGACGTCGTCTGAGGCAGGGAGCAGGAGAAGAAAGGACACATTGTGACCCAGTTCCAACACCTCCTGTGTATACAGACGGAACAGCTTAGCCTACAGAGGGACACGCACAGAAAAGAAATGAAGGGAGTGGGAGGAGGAGAAAGTTATAACATGGCATTTATAGCAATACCCCTCCCTCACAATGATATAAAACATTAAATTCTCACAACTATCTCCACCAGATAGGCAGTGTCTATAAAACATAGGCATTTGGATGTGGGTGAAGGCGTGCAAACATGCACACATCACACACACACACACACACACACACACACACACACTCATATTGAGGTATGCTTTTCTTAATCCTGCTTCAGAAAAGGTGTCATGCTCTAATGTTCCCCGTTCAAACATACATATCCACAGACAACCCCAGTCTCACCCCCCCAAATAACATCCGTGTTACTTATTAACCAGAAAACCCACTCTACGATCGTTCCAAGATTTTGCATTTGGAAATCATTCATTTGGATTTTCATGGAAACATGAAAATGAATTTGGTTCAAATATTGAGAACTTTATTTAAAACAACAACAACCCTAGGTAAAATTCTGGAGGGTGTTTTGTCTGCTCCTTTGCTCTTGTATCAGCCTGCCATAAATTGGGACAATGCAAATAATAATAATAATAAAAAAAAAATTAACAAGCTGCACCAGAGAAAAACATGAAAGTCAAATGACAGTGTATTTTTTAATTAAGGATTCTTTTTACTCCAAACCAGGGGTGAAATCCAGCAGGTTCTGGAGAACTGGTAGCGGAAATTTTGAGTAGTTCGGAGAACCGGCAAATACCACCTCTGGCTGGTCCCAGAGTGGGGTGGGAATGGAGATTTTGCAATATCCTTCCTCCAGGAGTGGGGTGGGAATGGGAATTTTGCAGTATCCTTCCCCTGCCACGCCCACCAAGCCATGCCCACCAAGCCATGACACGCCCACCAAGCAGCGCCTACAGAACCGGTAATAAAAAAAATGGAATTTCACCACTGCTCCAAACTGAATTATGGATTATATCTACCCTGGTCTACTCTTCCCTAAAGCATTGCTCCCATTACAGGCTGGAATCCTTTTAGGCAAAGGGAAGAAATGCCACTTATTTCAAAATGGGATGAATGCTGTACAAATATTTCTAACTGGTAAGAAATTCTAACTCTTAAAGTTGAGATATGCTGCCTACAATGATTCAACACAAGTCTCCTTCATTTATCACTTTATCTTTAACTTTTTTAAAGGCCTAGAATCAGGCCAGATTCCATCTCCCTTCAATACAATATTCCCCATGGATGAATTGTTCCAATTTAAATGGTTATGTGTTGGGGGAATAGTGATCAGATTTGTTACTTGAAAAAAAGACTAACCACAAAGAAGATAGTGAATCTGATTATAGCTTGGAGTTCTCTATATCCTTGGTCACCTTTGTGTAGCCATAATAAAATGAGTTTATACAAAGTAGCTTTACATTAAGGGTGAAAAAAAAGGACTGTTTATGCAGCAACTTTTAAGATGTATGAACTTCAACTCCCACAATTCTCTAGACAGCGTGTTATCCAAGTTTCTCCAGATTATCCAACCACTGATACAGAATAACAAATTCATTCTGAAACTCACAGACCTTGTAAGCAAGATGTGCATGTTGTTGTTGGACTGGAGTGCCAAAGTTGGAAATATTAAGGAGCAAAAAAAATTGGATTCTATAGCCTAGAAAACTAAAATGAAGCAGGAGAACAACTTGATTAATTTATGTCAATCCAATGTCAGTGATTTCTTCATGGTTTACAGTCTTCCAACAGTCAAACCGATACCCATATATTGGATTGTTGATTGAAATAAAATTGATTATAGTATTGGTATAAGCAGATGGAATACCTTGTGCTATGCTGATAACACTCTACTGAAGGCTGAAAATGCAAATGATCTGCACTCTCTAGGAAGGAAAGCCAAGAAGGACAGTGAAAAAAAATGGAACTGATTAAATATAAAGACTAACCAAAGAAAGCATCTTCATCATAATCATTTCAAGAAACTGTGTAGAGCGTAACAACAGATCATGACTGAAGACAATTGTATTTGGATGGCTCACTTGGCTCTTGTGAGCTGAATCTGATTGCATGACAAAGGCATTGGTGACAGCTAGGATGTATAACCAGTGGTGGAATTTAATTTTTTTTTACTACCGGTGTAGGCGTGGCTTGGTGGGTGTGGCTTGGTGGGTGTGGCAGGGGAAAGATACTGCAAAATCTTCATTCCCATCCCACTCCTGGGGGAAGGATACTGCAAAATCTCCATTCCCACCCCACTCTGGGGCCAGCCAGAGGTGGTATTTGCCGGTTCTCTGAATTACTCAAAATTTCTGCTACCGGTTCTCCAGAACCTGTCAGAACCTACTGAATAGCACCCCTGTGTATAACCACAAATTATTCTGTTTTAACACAGCATTGTGAGATGCACCCTGGGGCAAAAGCTTGGTACCTGGACATACGAGAAGCACTCATCCACTTGCTTCACTATATACTGGTACTCATTCAACATCTCACCCAACTTTTGAAGGTGCAAAACCAATGGTAATGACCCTTCACCACTTCATGACCTGCTGGCCACAAGATCATCAGGGTGCAGACAGAGAGTTAAAGATTTACCCTCTATTTCTCAGTTCACACACTTCTTGTTTAAGAGGTTGCTAGTCTAAGGTCACTTCCTTCCCCCTCTCTTCCCACGGACACCCATCCAGCGCACATGCTCTTGGACACTCTTCCCAGGGGATGTGATTGGCTAAGTGTTAGGCATTGCCTATCCATATCATTTATTCCCTCAAAATAAATCACTTTTCTGCTACACTCATAAAACTTGCCTCACTAATCTTGCCTACGTTAAATTCCTGCTCTCAGGAACACTCTTTCATATATACACATATAGATCATTTCAATCTCCAACTCAAATCATATTTCACACACTTTCAGAGGTATATAAGAGCAAGCTCTATTGCCACTTACAGCTGGCCATTTGTTTTATGGCACTGATTACTATCTTGACTTAAATTAAGTTTTATATAGGGTTTCACCATGAGCTCACTGTAGTTTAAAGCATCATTTTTGAAAGCTTGCAAAGGAAACAAGGCTATGAATTATAATACAGCTTTCATTAATCTGTCCTGAGGCAAGCAAAATACAACTCCATCTTTCCCTAGTGGGAGCAAAATGTACACAAATCAAATCTGATACCAAATCAGCTCAGGTTCAGCGTTGTTAATCCGCATACATGCACATATGCACAAATACATACAATATGCAAATATTACCGATATTTTTCCCACCAGTAAGTTTATGAGATGGAAGAGGAATTGCATAGCCCCATGGCGAGATAAGCGGCAAATAAATTTAAGAAATAAATAATACCTGTTGTAGAGGTAGATTGATCTGTTTAAGAAGAGCTCTCATTGCCATTTGGAGCTCAAAAAACAGTCGAGTTGGACACTCTACAGAATGATCCATATTTTCCATAGATTCTGAGCCAGAAAGTCTTTGGATCCATTCCCATTCCTCTCTGTATAGGGAGTGAAGTTAAAATTAGAAATATAACAAAAGTTCATTGCACAAGGAAGAATTTACTGAATGTACGTTTGGGCTTTGTTGGGGTTTTTGTTCTCAAATAGTAAAACCTTCTAAACTTGTAACAGGCCCAATTGTTTGTGGTTAAAAAAAGGGCCAACTTTCTGATTTCATTCTGTGTGTGCATATCAAGCTGAAGACTTTCTTTGACATTCAGGATGTTCCATATTTCTATAATTTTTAATACAGATTCCTAGGGGTCTCAGGCGGGTGGGTGGGTGGGCTCAATTTTCTCATTAACTCATTTAGTTTCTTCATTGGGTGTAGCCAGCTTGGGTTTTTATTTCTCCTCTCTTCTTAAGATTAAAGACATGAAGCTGAAACAAGGGGATTGTTGGAGTATGTATATTTTAGTGTAGTGCTGGACCGAAGCCAGAGGTGGGTTTCAGCAGGTTCTGATCACTTCTGGAGAACTGATAGCAGAAATTTTGAGTAGTTCAGAGAACCGGTAGAAAAAAATTCTGACTGGCCCCAACCCCATCTATTCTCTGCCTCCGAAATCCCAACTGATCAGAAGGAAATGGGGATTTTGCAGTAATCTTCCCCTGGACTGGGGAGGGAATGGAGTTTTTACAGTATCCTTCCCCTGGAGTGGAGTGGGAATGGAGATTTTACAGTATCCTTCCCCTAAAGTGGGGTGGGAATGGAGATTTTACAGTATCCTTCCCCTGCCATGCCCACCAAACCACGCCCACCAAGCCACACCACACCCTCCAAGCCACACCCACAGAACCGGTAATAAAAACATTTGAAACCCACCACTGACGGAAGCATCTACAGCAGGAGGACAAGGGGAGTGATGCAAATACCACCCATTTCCTACATTTATTGTGATGTTGCCTAGCATCTGAAAGGGGCAGAGATTATTAAGGTACCATGGTCAAGTTGTAGGTGCCATTGGAAGACCTACGTGGGCTTTAGGTAGGCAAAACAAGTAAACCCAGCATCTCTGCAAGTCTGGCCAGTGTTTGATAAGTACCCATTAGTCTCTGGGTGAAGGCAAGTAGGAACTGTATCCCTGGATCTTACTGTTGGGATAGGGAGTTGGCTATTTCTTTCCTTACTTATCAGGTTGCATTAGTCTGGCTGATTGCTGCAAACTGGGTAGATAAATGACAGCTGAGGATAAGAAATCTTGACATATGCCTTGATATTCACAATGAGGAAAAATGTTCCCAGAGATCACCATTCCAGTGGGAAAGCAGATTCACAGAGTGAGTGAGTAAGGGAATCCAGGCCACATCAACTCAGAAGCAAATTCTAATCAGCATGATTGGGAGATGTTTCTCCCCTTACCTGGACACATTGCCATTGTCTCGGATTTTAACGTGACACAGAATGTTGGGTAGCTTTTGTAGCACAAGCACTTTGATCTGATCAACGGAACTGCAGAGTTTTAAGTATCCCAAATAAAGGCCCGGAGCCAGACGTTGTTGGCTCCTTCTGTGATAGGAAAGTGTGTCCTATTGGAGGAAAGGAGAAAAAAAACAAGTTCAAAAATTTCCTTGATTTTTCTTCCATATAAAAAAGTAAAGGAAGGGCTCACCAAGCAGTGAGCAATATTGTGTTTTATTTATTATTATGGTTTATTGCTCAGTCAGCCATTTGCCATTTTTATCCACCTATCAAATCCTTCCCAATATCCCCAGATGTTGTTTGATGGGTGTTAAAGCAGGGGTGAAATGCTCCTGGTTCGGACTGGTTCGCCCGATCTGGTAGCGATGGCGGTGGGTGGTTCGGAGAACTGGTAGCAAAAATCCTGCCCCCCCCCATGCCCAGCTGAGCTGCGGGATTATCAGTGGCTTTTTTTTTTTTACTTTTAAAAGCATTTTTCTACAACCTCTTTGGCTGAAGAGGTTGTAGAAAAAAATGCCTTTAAAAGCCTCTGATGATCCCAGTTGAGTTGCTTGATCGTCAGAGGCTTTTAAAAGCATTTTTTTTCTGCAACCTCTTAAGGTTGTAGAAAAAATGCTTTTAAAAGTAAATCTTCCTTTCTTATGTATAGCACAGGGTGAAGTATTGTATATGTTGTTTGTAATGTTAGTAATTAAAAAAATAAAAACAAAAATAAAAACAAAACAAGAAAAAGAAAAAAAAAAGTTGGCCACCTCAACCCAGTCACATTAACCCCTCCCCACCAAGCCACGCCCCCAGAACCGGTAGTAACAAATTTTACATTTCACCACTGTGTTAAAGGTATTGTCACATTTATTATTACTATGGTTCATCGCACTACTAATGTTATTAGTGGTAGTTGTGGTAATAGTAGCAGCAGAAGCAGAAGAAGTACTACTACTTTGTTTTCCAAATCCCATGCTTTGTTCCCTTTATCTATATATTTTATTAAAAGTTTTAAAGCTAACACAAACTAATACAGAATAAAGAGAACGAAAAAGAGAGAAAAGTGCAGAAAGAAACGATAAAAAATAGTACAAAGCTTCTGATTTTCTTTGCAGTAAATACAAGAATAATTACAAAGTTATCTCTTACTCCACAATTACAAAAAAGGGGGAAAAAAACTACAAGCCCTATGTTTTGTTACAAAGTATGCATTTAATGGCCCTACTGTCCTTGGAATTCGTGGAAATAATCCTTCCAATTTATAATTGGAATATTTTTCTTCTTCCATTTAATCATGTTCAATTCTTGGAGACTGGCTCTCAATTGGAGCATAGGGAGGGAGCTATGGGCAGAAGCTACTGTGCAGAAAGTGGCTTCAGTATGTGGGTATCAGATACATGACCCCAATTCCCAATTTGTATGTTCATTTGTAGACTAAATAAATTCAGTGAGAGTTTTCCAGCAGTGGTTCAATTGCAACAGCAGAAGGAAAATTTGCCAAGGTATTCGGAAAAAACTCCTTACATCCTTTTAGCCTTGCATTTGGAACTGGAAATATTCCTAATCCTAACTTGTTCTAAATGGGCGGTGAAAGCATTTTAAATAATACTTGGAAGATCTAGAACCAATTAATCTGCCTCCCACATCAGGAGGCTATTACTGAGAGTCTCACGGTCAAATTCATTTAGCTCACTTACCAGAGTCTGAAAGTCATGATTATGAGGTCCTATATTTTGTTCCTTTGCTAATATTCTCTCTTATTGATAATTGAGAGATGGATTCAAGCATTTAAAATGGGGGGGAAAAACCCGAGGGGGAAAACAGAATTGGAATTAAACCATATTAAAAAAAAAAATCTGGTGTGACTATGGAGAGGTCTCTTGAAACCAAGGAGCTGCAGGAAAGAGATAATGGAGTCATTGCATGTCTGGTGGGCACTTATATACATTTATTAAACAAATGAACAAACAAACAAACAAACAAATGTTATTAACAGAAAAATGTGTGTGATCTGGAGAAAAGAGAGTTCACATGATTTTCTTTTCTTTTTTTTTATTGGTTAAGAAGTATAAACAAACATATAAACAACAGTAAAACATACAAAACAAATAAACATAAATCAAGTCTTTACGACTCCTTTTTAAACTTGTTGCATCGGTAGTCTATATTTATCTTTATACTTATATGTCTATATACTTATATATAAAATAAAATGTATCTATTAATATTTTGTCTTACATATCTTTTATATCTCTATTTCTAGTACTCCATCTCTTCAGCTTTTTTTTTAGTCTACTTATTTAATTTACTATGTTCCTCAATTGGTACTTTTTTCCTATAGTTTCTATAGACCTCTCATTTGTATCCCTATTCTTGTTTTCCTTTCTTCTTCTCCAACCAGTTATATCATTTCTACCATACTAAATAATAATCCATTTCTTCTTTTTCCTGTATTTCTTTTGTAAGTTTGTCCATTTCTGCACATTTCCATAATGTTACTGATTATTTTATCTTCTATTGGTATATCCTCATGTTTCCAATTCTGGGCAAAAACTATCCGTGCTGCCGTTAATATATGGATAATTAGGTATTTTATTTCTTTTTTGTAGTGTCCTGTGATTATTCCTAATAAAAAGGTTCACATGATTTTCTAACTGTGCCTCTTCCACCCCACCACCCCCTCAAGAAAAAGATTATAGCATTTTTGTTGCTTCGGGATGTAACCTGAAAGTGAATTTGACAGATTTTGCCAAGGGATTTCAAAAGACAGAGTAGAGAGCGGAGGGAGAAAATTAAAGGTGTCAGCGGCTGTCAGAATAAGCTTCCGGTGCTAAACATAGTATGCGACAGGAGTGGCTGTACTTTCCAAAGCTGACATTTGTCTCTTCTCAGCAAAAAGGGATACAGAGGCTCCCCTGCTCAGGTGCTAAAATCCAAAGATTATTAGTATTTTTTTTTTCAGGTAGAGGAAAAAATTTGCAGAATCTCTTAACTGTTGGTCAATGTGTCAAAGGTGTAATTCCAGGGACAACTCGTGCCTGACTGACCACAAGGAGGAAGTGGGGCTGTGGTGGGTTGCTCCCAATTCGGTCTGGTTCTATAGAACCGGTAGTAAAACCGGCGGGAAGCTCCGCCCACTTGCCACGACATCATCATGGGTGATCTGCACATGCGCAGAAGTGTGCTCACGCTTCCGTTGTGAACCGGTAGTAAAGGTAAGTAGAACCCACCCCTGAAGTGGGGGTGTGGATGGCAACTTAAAAAAAAATCGGTTTCTCTCTGTCTATCACTGCTTATTTCTTGTTTAACATACTGTTAATTTGAGGTCACTTCCTTCTGCTTTTCTTCTTTGGGCACACATCCTCAGATCCAACTCTGGCCCCAATAGGGTGTAGTCACTCAAGTGCTAGGCTTTGTCTATCTTATCATGGGTTTAGTAGTTCTAAAACAGGGGTGTCAAACTCGTGTTGTCACCGGGTCGTCACATGAAGTATCGTGACTTTCCCCCCCTTTGCTAAACCGGACATGGGCGTGGCAAGCACGTGACGCATCCAGCCCCTAGGCTGCGAGTTTGACAGCCCTGTTCTAAAACCTGCTGCATCGATCCTTGCTCAGGTCAGATGCCACATCTCAGCAATGCGGACATATAAAGAGCCTCAAATCAACCTCATATCGTTTCTGAAAATACTTTAAATTTTGAGGGTCTTTCTGACTTTGAGATGGAGCATTTATAAACAGATGATGCTGAGTCTGACAAAATTTGTCAATTTTTTTGTCGGTAAGATGTTCTACACATTTTGGCAGCCCAGGTGAAAAGCAAATACCATCTCTTTCCCCAGTTGCTGGTGCCCTCAAAAACCGGTGGATGGGGCAATTTACAAAGCAGGACTAGTTTTATTTAGTTTCCTGATAGTCATTGTCTTTTGTGTGACCTTAATTTTATTGTCTTAATTACTGTTTTGCTGTATTTTTAAATCATTTTTTAAAAATTTCCGGTAAGATATCATAAATATTTTTAAAAGATTTCTCAGTCATTTAATTGGTTTATTAGATGTAGCTCCTTCTTCCTCAAAGCAGCATATACTAGGCTTCCACTTCTTATTTTCCCCAATAAGACCCTGTGAAATAGGCTGGGCTCGGAGGGAAAGTGTCTGGCCTCATTGGGTGAGGATCAGAGGTGGGTTTCAGCAGGTTCTGACCAGTTCTGGAGAACCGGTAGCGGAAATTTTGAGTAGTTCAGAGAACTACTGCTGAGCACATTGTAAGCCGCCCTGAGTCTTCGGAGAAGGGCGGCATATAAATCAAATTAAAAAAAAAAAAACTGGTAGTAAAAATTCTGACTGGCCCCACCCCCATCTATTCTCTGCCTCCAAAGCCCCAGCTGATCGGGAGGAAATGGGGATTTTGCAGTAACCTTCTCCTGGATTGGGGAGGGAATGGAGATTTTACAGTATTCTTCCCCTGCCACGCCCACCAAGCTACACTCACCAAGCCATGCCATGACCACCAAGCCACACCCACAGAACCAGTAGTAAAAAAATTTGAAACCCACCATTGTTAAGGATGGACTTGGACTGGTATTTCCTAATTCAACTCAATAACTAATTATGATACCAGCTGGCTCTCATAAGGATTTCATTTCATGTTTTCAAATTTAGGGAGAACTATGCATGATTAACTTGGTTTGGATGCAGGATGGGGACAGTTTTTTGGGCTGGGAAGCCATAATCAATCAGTCAATCAAATAAATAAATAAAGATTAGCTAATCCTGCATTTTTAATTGAACCGATTTCCAGTATTCACACCTCCTGACTAAGGGACAGATTGGAACAAGCCAACAAATTGCCTGACAAGCTGCAACTGAATCCCCAAAAGCTTATCAGAAGGAATGTTTGTTTATTTGTTGAAATTTGGAGAAAAAGAGGGTTACCTGGATTGTGATAAGCAATATGTCTAACGCTGTTGGCTCCTCAGGTGTTGAAAGAGATTTCCTCTGGCTTTGTAGTTTAGAGATCTGCATCCATTTGCCATTAAAAAAGGAATAGAGGCTCTCCACTTCTCTGATTGTCACTATGATAACATTGCCATGGCGGTCTTTGATTGGTTCATAATAGACTTGGCCCAGATTATGTGTGCCTAACAGGTTCTGTGGTTGAAGAGGGAACAGTGGAAGACCACAAAGCACACAGTTATTGATTCATTTTCACAGGTCATAATGCACATTTTTTGAATAGCAGAATAGCTTTCAACAGCTGTTAACAGAAATGAAAACAGTGTAGCAATAGAACTAGCAATAGCATTTAGACTTATATACCGCTTTACAGTGTTTTACAGCCCTCTCTAAGCGGTTTACAGAGTCAGATATTGCCCCCAACAATCTGGGTCCTAATTGTACCGACCTTGGAAGGATGGAAGGCTGAGTCAACCTTGAGCCTGGTGAGATTTGAACTGCCAAATTGCAGGCAGCAGGTAGTCAGCAGGAGTAGCCTGCAGTACTGCACTCTAACCACTGCGGCACTGCGGCTCATAACCAGCTAAGCCCTTCAAATGATCATTAGTTTAATGTTGAGCCTTTCTTGTTTCAACAGGGTGGTAAATCACAAATCAGAGTCACAATTATAACAACAAGGGAGACCCAACAGTTCTGTTCATTTCAAATTGATATCTATACTGTCTTTATATCAACAGAATTAAGCATTTATTAACAAAATAGAATATGTTAGATGGAGCACTGAGATGCACTTGTAAAATAATAATTTTACTGTACTACCTTGAACTGAACCTATCCACTGCTCCATTTAGCTCAGCATTACCTGCTCTGATAAGTAGCAGCAGTGCCTGGGGCAGATGCCTAATGTTTCTCCTATCTGAGATGTTTTTAACTGGAGCCTGGGACCTTCTGTGAGACAGTATGGATTTCTACCACTGAGTTGGGCTCTTTTCTATGGCATTAAATAGAAAACGACGGAAAAATTCTGTATAGCTCTACTGCTGCTAAACAATTGACAAAAGGAAGGAATTTCACAAAATGGTCTGCATAAGACTATAAAATCTTATAATGACAACGTTCCCAGGGAGTTTTAATGGAATTGGACCACATCCATAGTTTCAATCTCTTCTAACAGATGGAAACTTGAGCATTTTCTTCACAGCAAAGAGAATCAATCCAACATGGTGATTATTTGAAATTTGAAATGCCTTCTGTGTTCCTTAGTAGGATGTAGCAACATTTCTGTTAGGACAGCTGGGTAGAATATGGATGTATGGTTTACACCAATATTCCCCATTCTGGTGACCTCCAGATGTGATGGAAATTCCTAGAATGTCCATGCTGGGCACATATTATGAAAGTTCTTGTCCTAGCACACCTGGAGGACTTTAGACTTGGGAAGAGTCTTCCAGTTCTATAAACTTGGTTCATCTGTTTGCCTCTGAATTACCGTAGTTCCCATAGATACATTGACAATGCTGGACTTGCGATCACAAGCGCAGATGGACATGTTTATCTGCTGATCTTTCTCGCTCTCTCTTTTTAAATCCAATCTTCATTTTAAAGGACATAAGCATTATGGTCGACTTTGAAAGCTACAAAGCTGAGAGTTGATTGATGCCAAGCGTAATATGAACTACAAATGTATACAAGAGAGATATATATCTGTATTTCAGAAAACAACTAGACTATGTATAATTTCTAGGTCAGCAGCATTACTACAGAATGATGAAAACTTAATAAAAGGCAATGAGACAGAATCACCTTGGAAGGAAAATTGATGCAGTTTCTGACTGTTCTATGTTTGCTTTTTTTGACAAAAACATTGGATACAGATTTATTATTATTTTTTTTTGCAGCAACAATGACCATATTTAGGATTCTCTCAGCATCTTTACACAATATGACCATTGCATCTCATGGAGGTTTGTGCAGGACAATTTCACGACAGAACATTCAGGCCAACTCTGGAAGGAACATAATTGCTCCCAGCACTGGGATCAAGACTTTCTAGATGATTAGATCTAGTTTAGTTTTTTTCCTACTCTTTGGTAACTCACCTAGGGCTGAGGACCAGTGTTTGTCTCCTGAAGAGATGCCCAGATGTCTCAAAGAAAAATCCCTAGCATTTTAAATATGCCCGTGACTCTGGAAGCTTTCAAAAGGTCTACAGTATGCAAGTAAGGGGGGGGGCAGGAGGAATGATTTAAAAGGCAAAACTGAATTGACAATGTGGCACATTGTTCATTATGAAAGCAGAGGGGCTGTACATTAACCTTAATGACATTCTCATTTGATAGATAAAGCCACCCTGAGCTGACTCTATCTGCACTTAGCAGACACTATTTACCTCTGAGCAGCATTATTAAGATTGTTTATAACCAAAGCACTCAGAACAGCCAGGCACACTGGCTGCCATTTAGAAGTGGCTTTAAGTAGCTATTTTAGCTTTAGGCATCCCCGTCCAAGGCACACAGTAGGCGTTCTGTATCCTTATGGGCCCTCTGCTCTTTTGCTGCCTGTATACGGATTTGCTTAGAGTCAGATAGACTTAATTTTATTTTTATTTATTTATTTTAATCATTCGGAGATTGCAAGAACTTGATTAGCACGCGCTCTCTCTCTCTCTCTCTCAGGAGGGCAGGAATGCAAAGAACACAAGGCTTGTAAGTCAGACCTGTTATTGCGACTAGACATGTTCATCTATGTTACCAAGAAGCACATGAAATTTAGAATCAGGTTTCTAGGGAGTTTATTTTTCACACACGGAAAATGGAGAGCATATTTAGCTTTTGAATCTGCCAGGCAGGTTAGGAGGCACATATAGGTATGAATCTGCAAACGCACCTTAGCGTTAAGGATTAAGCACTAGGAGAAAAATAGAATCATTACTAAAATGATATACACGTAGTTCTCATATACACAGTTACGACCACAAATTTCCATTGCTGAGCAATACTTAAGGGAGTTTTGCCCCATTTTAAGACCTTTCTTGCCTCAGTAATTAAGTAAATCGCTGCAGTTGTTAAGCTAGTAATATTTGTTAAGTGAATCTGGCTTCCCCCATTGACTTTGCTTGCCAGAAGGTCACAAAAGGTGATTGCATGACCTCGGGACACTGCAGCCATCATAAATACATGCCAGTTGCCAAGCGTCCGAATTTTGATCACATGACCATGGGGATGGTGCAAACAGCTGCATGAAAAATGACCATAAGTCACTTTTTTCAGTGCTGTTGTAACTTTGAACAGTCACTAAACGAATGATTGTAAGCCGAGGACTACCTGTACTACTACATTATTTTGCTTCTGGACAACATGATCAAAATCATCAAACCCAGTATGTACTTCCTGCCATTGACTGCTCCACATCTTTGTCAGCTACTAGAGGAGGCAAGAAAAATGAACAGATCCATGCAGGAATAAGTAATCAAAGTATCACCAGTGTAGCTCCTCTGTGGTTGGAGTAGACAGATCAGGAAGTGATGAGCAAAACTAATGAGGAAATGTTGCCAGCTGCGTATTAATAAAGCATGCTCGCTGTTTATACCAATGAGCTGATCTGGAAGTGGGTTTGTTTGTGTTATAGGAAAAAAGAAATGGCATTTTTTGGCTTACTGTTGCTCATTTCAGGTTTAATTAATTTCATAATACAGCCCTTCTTTTATTTGGTCAGCCAGTTATGAACCCTTGCCTGATCTGTCTCAGACTGAGATTAGGAGTGTAACTACTCCGTTTCCTGTGAATTACTTGTAAATGCCCACTATCAAATAGAAGAAGCATTTTTACTCCCACTCACCTATCCTCAAAATACTTAGGATGTACCAGAGTAAGGTTTTCTGAATTTGGTGAAATACAGCTTCTCCCAATGGTCTCCCTCAAGTAAGCTGAAATTCAATCTGCAATTTCTAAATTTCCTTTTAGCTGATGAGTAACTTCACATGTTGCAATTTCCCAAAAAAATAAAAATAAAAATATGGAGAACCACAAGTTGGAGAAGGCTGTTGTAGTTATTAATGGTGGATTTCCACAAAGATCCTTAAAGGCTCAACACGCTGAGTTTTGTCAAAGTAGGTAGAGAAGATATTTCGGCATATCGGGATAGAGAAGATATTTTGCGTGACATTCCATCAGAAGTGGCCCTTCAAGGGGAAAAAAAAATGAGCAGATGCCCCAAGGGATCGTTATCTTGTCACCTAATTAATTATCTAGGATGCTTTTTTTGTTTGATGCTGGCTTGGATTTGCTGCTTTGAATGCTGCCAACATAATAATCAAGCGTCTCCACCAGCTATGTGACTGAGCAGGCTATTTGCTTTTTCAGATTATCCTCCAGGGCAGGCGACTATTTATTTACCGTGTCACATTTAATTCTGCTCTCTCTGACTTCTTCCTATTTTGCAAGTTTATTGATGGCCTGTTAGCTCTGACTGGGCTCTCAGACTGTGCTGCTGCTTTCCAGTGTATAATTCTCCCCTTGAGGCCATGCCAGAAGGAAGTGCTAAAGCAGGGGACAGCTGGCAGCTGATTCCCTTGGAGACCCTACCCTTGCCCGAGATATGCCGCGAGAAGCGGGCGCTGCCACTCACCTGTAACTGGGCTGCTGCAGACAGCATTTTCTGCCTGGCTTGGAGCACCGTGGAGGAGGACATGGAGACAGACATGTTCTGCCTCAGCCATCTGATCTCATCCCACATACAAGACAGCTGCAAAATACAGAGCGCAATTGGCAGGGAGGTAGGAGGTTTGCGGGGGGGGGGGGGAAAAAAGGCAAGAAGGATGAATGAACGAACAAACAAATGTTATCTTCCCCAAAAAGTAGCTGCTGTTCATGCCATGATTCTGTGGGTGGCAGTGTGTTGACAAGAAATTATTAAATGAGCAGAATTGCGTTGCATCTAATCGGCATACACACCATTTATCTCTCTTAATACCCTTGGGTGCCGTTCTATGAAAATGATCAGTCTGGGCTCAAAGGCAATATGGGGAGAGAGGAGGATGTACGTTTGCATCAGCCCCCCCTCTGACTTGTATTAAACATCCTGAGCATTCTTAAGGATCTTCCCTTCCAATTTGACTTCAGTTAATTCCAGTGCCAATACTTATCAGCATTAGTAGTTTAAGAAATCCAAGATCCATTTTGTATCCTTACAAATTAATGGGAAGAAAGGGGCTTCCCTGGATTTATTTAAATCCTGGATCAATTAAAACAGGTTTGTGGGGGCAAGAAATAAACACGATTGGGTATGATTTGGAATGGGTTTGAGCCAATGATTCCTGAGGAATTAGCTAGGATCTTCTCTGCTAGAAGCACAACAACCTGTTTATTGGATCTGGGTCATAAAAGTGGCCAAGGACGCATTCTGCAGTTGGATCCATCCATGCTATGGTGTTGATCTCTTTGACAAAAGGGGTGGTCCTTCTCCTACCCCTCCTCCACAAGCTGTTCTTTAATCCAACAGCTTTTTATAATTATTGTCCAGTCTCTCTATTTCCCCCATACCCAGGATTTGGGAATATTCCATCTCTGACCATCGATGGGGTTGCACTTCCTTCAAGAGTAGGACACAATTTGGGGGTCTTCCTGGACTCACTGCTACTGTTCAGTGAGTAGGGGCTAGCTGTGGGCAGGAAGGCCTTTCAATAGCTTTATCTGATATGTCAGTTGCACCTTTTCCTAGGCCAGAAAGCTCTTCAGAGAGTCATTCATGCCCTGGTCACCTCCTCATGGCCTGACTACTGCAGCAGACTGTTCATGGGGCTGCCCTTGAACACTACTCAGACTCTGAACTTCAACTCATCCACAATGTTTTGTGAGCTGCATTAGTTTCTCCTTTTCTTCCAAGGGGAACTGGTTGTTACCTATAAAGTGCTCAGGGCCTGGGACCTGGTTCCTGAGCAGTGGTGGGTTTCAAAATTTTTTACTACCGGTTCTGCAGGTGTGGCTTGGTAGGCGTGGCAGGGGAAGGATACTGTAAAATCTCCATTCCCACCCTACTCCAGGGGAAGGTTACTGCAAAATCCCCATTTCCTCCCGATCAGCTGAGACTTGGGAGGCAGAGAATAGATTGGCAGGGCCAGTCAGAATTTTTACTACCGGTTCTCCGAACTACTCAAAATGTCCACTACCAGTTCTCCAGAACTGGTCAGAACCTGCTGAAACCCACCTCTGTTCCTGAGGGACATGTATCTCACATAGTCACTTCCTAGCCAATTCAATCTTGCAGGGTTGGTACGCTCTGGATTCCTTCAACTAAACAATGCCATCTGTCTCCTGAAGCCCACCTTCTCTGCAGCATTACATGACCTCTTGAATGAGGTCCTCCCAAAATCTGAGTGGCCCTCACCCTGCCAGTGTTTCTAAGAGACTGGAAGTCTCAGCTTTTTGCCCAAGCCTTTGGCAAAGGAGAATGAATTCCCCCTTGGATTGTGTGGGTTTCTTTCTTTTTTGTTCCTGTCTGGTTCTTGTCATCTTTATTGTTTTGTCTCTTATTGTATTTTTTTAAAAATGTTCTTACTTGTGAACTGTCTGTAGTCATTGGGAGCCAGGCAGCATACAAATTTTAATACTAATACTAATTTCTATAAATATTTATAGAAAAATAGTGTTGATACAAACAAGAGTCCATTACCGATACATTCTGAAACCCAGGTGGAAATATCTTAGCTAGATACATATGGTATAACACCAACGGAGGATGCGTTTGCTTCCAACCTGCTTTTATTTTACCCTTCAATTGGAAACAAGTTTTGCAGCATGCACCCTTTCCTGTTAGACAGATGTAACAGTTACCCTAACTATCCTCTGCAGTTTAAGGTCTCCCTCTGGTACTCAGCACAGAAACCCCAAATTCTCCTCTTTTACACGGTAGCTTCCCGCCCCCCACCTTCCACTCCCTTAGGACTAAATGAGATGCAACATCACTACTAAATTCACCAGTTTAAAGACAGAATTCCTTTGATTGCATGGAAAGAAAAGGGGAATTTAAGACTATGCTGCGGTGAGCACATGCTCGCAATCTACTACCTGAAATGTGTTTTTTTGGTTTTTTTTACAAATAGGCTGCAATGTGAAATAAATCTTCGGTGAGAGGAAAGTGCCTGGAATGCAGGACTGCAAAGAGTTATGTTCTGGTTAGGGGGCAAGATTCAATCCTTCCACTTTGTCTGCATGTTTTCTTTGCTCTATAAAGTGGATGTTATTGCATAGCACTAGCACTAGCACTTAGACTTATATACCACTTCACAATGCTTTATAGCCCCTGTCTAAGCGGTTTACAGAGTCAGCATATGGCCCCCAACAATCTGGGTCCTCATTTTACTAACCTCAGAAGGATGGAAGGCTGAGTCAACCTTATGCATGCTTTCTATACAATTGTAACACATTCAGATTTTATGAATGTGATGAATGTGTTCTGTAGCCATATACCATATAAGCCTTCTGATCCTTCATCACTCTTTGGCCTCTAGATTTACAAAGTACTCGGTTTAGTTGGCTACCCAACTTCATCTTAAAATGCAACCATGGAAAATTGACTTTGGCCATCCAGATCTAACTGTTTAATGTGTGGTCCTCCTACATGACTATTGGTCATGATTGTTGGGGCTGATTGGATCTGGAGTCCAGCCCCTGGAGGAGTCACAGATTCTGCCCTACATCCAGCAGGGCTCACAATAGTGTGTCCTCACACAACCCAGGCATGCATGTGGCTAAGAAGGGCTGTGTGTGTATAAAGAAAAACAGAGGGCGGGGATCAGCTCCGAAATACTCTCCTACCCGGAGGAGTTCAACCAAGGGAGAAAACGACTTACCTTTGTGAACCAGAGGAAATCTTGCATAATAGAACTGGCGTGAGAATCATCAATTTCCACTATTGGTATGTGATCTTCATTGGTTACTAACATGTTGTCTTTGTAATAAAATATCACAGCTAAATAAAGCCCTCTGCATTAAAATAAATGAGAAGAATGAAAAAGGAGAACAATTAGGTGTCTATTCCAAACAAGATAGTGATTTGCATTCTGCAAAGCAAGAAGTCTTTAAGATCCTCTAAACTGGTCTAGCACTTACTTACTTACTTACTTACTTACTTACTTACTTACTTACTTATTTATTCAAGCGTGTATTAGATAATATATATAAGTATAAACATGATTTGAATACCTGAAATGAATACAAATAAAGGGAACATTAGGACAGGGATGGTAGGCACGCTGGTGCGCTTATGAACACCCCTTACAGACCTCTTGGGAATGGGGTGAGGTCAACAGTAGACAGTCTTAGGTTAAAATTTTGGGGGTTTGGGGAAGAAACCACAGAGTCAGGTAGTGCATTCCAGGCATTGACCACTCTGTTACTGAAGTCATATTTTCTGCAATTGAGTTTGGGGCGGTTCACTTTAAGTTTTTATCTATTGTGTGCTCGGCTATTGTTGTGGTTGAAGCTGAAGTGGTCATTGACAGGTAGGACATTGTAGCAGATGATTTTATGAGCTATGCTTAGGTCGTAGTTCTAAATTGTCTAAGCCCAGAATTTCAACTCTGGTGGCATAAGGTATTCTGTTGCGAGCAGAGGAGTGGAGGAGTCTTCACATGAAATATCTCTGGATACACTCAATTGTATTAATGTCCGATATGCAGTGTGGGTTCCAGACAGATGAGCTGTATTCGAGAATTGGTCTGGCAAATGTTTTGTATGCTCTGGTTAGTAGTGTAATATTACTGGAGAAGAAGCTACGCAAGATTAGGTTTACAACTCTTAATGCCTTGTTGCGATGTTGAAACAATAGAATTCAACTCATTGCTCCCAAGAAGGAGAATTTCCCAGAAATGTGATAATGTTAAACACTAGCAAATCTGCAGAATAACTCCACAAATGCATGGGCAACGCTACTCACCCTGTCATTTTCACCTGAATTATGTTTGGACAAGTAGTAGCAACATATTTGGGTTTGGAAATGACAAATCAACATGGTGCATCAGATTCTGAGAGCTAACTAGCCTTGTTTGAACTTGAAAGGGTAAAGTCTAGGTAGTATTTGGATGGGAGACTTTTAAGAACCCCAAATCTGTAGACCATTGTTTCTCAACCGTAGCAACTTGAAGAGGTATGGACTTCAATTCCTGAGCTGGCTGAGGAATTCTGAGTGTTGAAGTCCACGCCTCTTCAAGTTGCCAAGTTTAAGAAAGACGGTTGTAGGCTAATTTGGAAAGCTGAAAAAAAACAACAGCAAACCACTGGTTTTGTTGCCAAGAAAACTATAGTATATGGATGTACTTGTAAAGTTACCAGAAGTTAAGTTCAACTTGGAGAGTTTACTTTTTATTAGTCCCATGTGAAAAAAACAACAACTTATCTTCTTATGGTAATCATTTTCTTAAGTAAAATATTCCCTTAAACTAAAAATTATTGTCATTGTTTTAAAATATTTTAAATTAAATATGAGTCAATTATTGCATTAATTATCATTACTTGCATTAATATGAATACCTGTCTCTTTCTAATTTTAACTTTATTTTTATCACAACGGCAACAGCAAATATTTTTCCAGTTGCTTTCTAGCACCCATAATTTTGTTTTTCCAGAAAATCTTGTATGTTGCTCCAGATTGTCTTAGAAAACCTGACTGCTGTCAAAAATGCAGAACTCAGAAGGATGTCAAAACAAGTTGTTAACAAGAAAAGAATACAGTGACTATAGGAACTGGCAACTTAAAATCAAGTCCAGCGCTCTCAGGAAAAAAAAATTACAGGGTTGCAGATAATTGGGAAATAATGGAAAAATAGAACTGATAAAAGCCATCCATTTGTTGCATCTTTTGCTTTGAAATAAATGAAAGTTGAGCTAAACAGACCTGCTGGGTTCAATTTTCTTTTATTATAACTCTCTCTTTTGAATTCTTATTTTTTTAAACTCCTGCTTACAGGTGGCACTTTCCATAAATTTATTTATCTAATGGAAATGGAGGCTGCCTGGGGTCTAATATAGAAACTTCCGCATTACAAAAGATTCTAGAATATACAGTAGTTTGGAGTATACAATCTCAATTCATCCTAGGTGCTGTCCAGTCTATAAGGCCCTATTGTTGAACTATTTTGATTCAGTGTGTCCAATACCACACTTAAGACGTCTTATCAAGTGGTGAAATCCAAATTTTTTTACTACCAGTTCTGTGGGCGTGGCTTGGAGGGAGTGGCTTGGTGGGTGTGGCAGGGGAAGGATACTGCAAAATCTCCATTCCCATGCCACTCCAGGGGGAAGGATATTGCAAAATCTCCATTCCCACCCCACTCTGGGGCCAGCCAGAGGTGGTATTTGCCAGTTCTCTGAACTACTCAAAATTTCCGCTACCGGTTCTCCAGAACCTGTCAGAACCTACCGGATTTCACCCATGGTCTTATGGTGTTTTTGAAGAATACTTGTCTCACATTTCTGATTTTTCCATTGTGGAATTTAATATTTAAGATTTCTATTCCACCACAATACTCCATTAGCTAGATCCGCAGAAAATCTCTCCAGTTCCCTGGATATTTGAACATATTCAGACCACTATTGGTACTCTCTACTGTATTACTCTTAAGATGGTATCCTGCTCCTTCAATCAAGAATAGAATAGAATAGAATAACAGAGTTGGAAGGGTCCTTGGAGGTTTTCTAGTCCAACCCCCTGCTTAGGCAGGAAACCCTACACCACTTCAGACAAATGGTTATCCAACATCTTCTTAAAAACTTCCGGTGTTGAAGCATTCACAACTTCTGGAGGCAGCTTGTTCCACTGATGTTCTACTGAGAGTCAGATATATTATGAAAACTCCCTAATTCATACAAGTGATCCATTTAACAAACTTCGCTTTCACGCTGTGAACTTGTTTACCGGACAGAGAATTTACTCTCCTCACTTCTGAGACTAGGACAACATTCTAGAGAAAAATCAGCTTCACTAGAAACTCCTTTCTCTGCCTCTTCTGTAGTTTTCAATCCAGCCCATGTCCACACAGGAGGGCGCGAAAAGGGGCAGAAAGTAGATGGCTCCAACTTTTCCACTCTCCTGACATACAATTCAGGAGGGTAAAGGGTTAAGTCAGCCTTGCCTAATCCGGGGCTCTCCAAATACTAGAACAATTCCTATAAACCTCCCAGCCAGCATGGGAGCTGACACCCAACCTCTCTGGAAGACATCAGTTGCGGAAGATTACTGTAATTGTCTACCATCTAAATAACTACTGGCCAAATGGAATAAAATAGGGACAAATTGGCTTCACAGTGAGAAATTAGATAGCAGAGATGGCCTGCATTTTCCTTTCTTTCTTTCTAGATTGTACATGCAGTACAATCCTATACAGATGGTATTCAAAGGTACTTATTCCTGGTAAGCATGCCTTTGATTGGCCTTAGCGGGTGGCTGGCTTTGTCGGAGCTCAGCAGCTCAGCAGGGCGGGCCTAGTTAGTACTTGGATGGGAGATTATCAGGGCAGTTGCTTGGACTGGGAAGTTTAAAAAGCACCCTGGAAGGAGGCCATGGCAGACCACTCTAATACAGTTACCGAGAAAACAGCATGGATGTGTCCTGGTAGCCACCAAGTGTTAAGCTGAACCCAAGGTTATCTTTACCTTTTCATGCGTGTGGCTTTAGCCTGACTCAAAAGCTCCCTGAATTTATCAAGGAGACAAATTATTACCTTGTGAAATTAGAGGGTCTTACGTTGCTCGTAAGGATAAAGAAGCTGTTGAAACAAAGGATTGGGCAAGTGAACTGGGTCACCAGAAAGCATGAAAGCTTTTGAAGATTGCTCTGAAGATTGGCTGCTGTTTAGAAGGGGCTGCTTGGCTGCTAAATTTAATCCTTTTTGTCACACCCAGACAATCCAATCTTTTCCTTTCCTTTCCTTTCCTTTCCTCTCCTCTCCTCTCCTCTCCTCTCCTCTCCTCTCCTCTCCTCTCCTCTCCTCTCCTCTCCTCTCCTTTCCTTTCCTTTCCTCTCCTCTCCTCTCCTCTCCTTTCCTTTCCTTTCCTTTCCTCTCCTCTCCTCTCCTCTCCTTTCCTTTCCTTTCCTTTCCTTTCCTCTCCTCTCCTCTCCTCTCCTCTCCTCTCCTCTCCTCTCCTCTCCTTTCCTTTCCTTTCCTTTCCTTTCCTTTCCTTTCCTTTCCTCTCCTCTCCTCTCCTCTCCTCTCTTTTCCTTTCCTTTCCTTTCCTTTCCTTTCCTTTCCTTTCTCCTCTCCTTCCCCTCTCCTCTCCCTTCCCTTCTCCCTTCCCTTTTCCTTCTCCCTTTCCATCCCTACCCTATCCTACTCTGTTCCTCTTATCTCCTCTGCATCCAGTTCACTCTTTCATTTCTTTCCCTTTACAGGGATTTATTAAGGCTGTGCAGAAATCTAGATCCAAGAGCAAAAAAATGTGTGGATGTACATATATCACTTTTGGGGAACATTGTAAAGCATCATCAACTTCTCCTGGCCCGGTCATATTTTGGAATCTGTTTTTGGCAGATATACATATCCAACCATCCATAACACATGCATATTTACAAGTGTTGCATGCATATATTAATTGAATGGGAGAGGAATCTCCAAGAGTGGTTTTAGCTAGAATTGGCAACCTTACATTGATAAGGTCAGAAGCTGGGTATTATCCAGGATTTAGGTCTGTGTGCATGGGGTTTTCTCTTCTTTACCCTTTGTTTTGGGGGAGAATTGTACCGTATTGAATTAATGAACGTCTTTTCAGCTAAGAGGTTTTTATACTGAAGAGACATGAGCTGCAATAGAAATGAAAGCTGAAATTTGAGTAAAGCTCCTTATATATCTTAGCACATTTTTCCAAATCCTGCTGTGGTTACGGTCTCAGCTTGTAGTGTTTTCCAAAATACTAAACAATTTCAGAGTACAAAATGCAGATTATGTAAGAGAGAGATTTCTGGCAGTTTCAAATATAAAACTGTGTTTCTATTAAATCAAACAAACCTTTTCAAAGTCTTCACAAACTTGTTTGAAGAATGGAAGAGATGTTTCAGGCTTCTGGAGACAGACTGCTTGCGACCGGCATTCTGCAATTTAACATTATCTGGAGTGTTTAAGGAAAGAAAAGAAGAGAAAGTAAAGGAAATTGGTACAGCTTTGCAGCATTGGGTGTATTTTTATTTAGGTCATAGTGGCAACAATTAAGCTATACTTAAATGTAATTGTCCTCATGTTATGACCACAATTGAACCAGTGGTGGGATCTACTTACCTTTACTACCGGTTCGCAACGGGGCTGCGCACACGTGCCTGCTTTGCTCGTGCGTGCGTGCTTTCTTCTGCGCAAGCGCAGAAGCATTTTGAATACATTGGGGTCGGTTTTACTACCGGTTCTATAGAACCAGTGCAAACCAGGGGCAACCCACCACTGAATTGAACCCAAAATTTCCGTTGCTAAGCAAGACTTTTAAGTGAATTTTGCCCCATTTTACAACCTTTCTTGCCACAGTAGTTAAGTCAACAACAGTTGTTAAGTTCATGACATGCTTGTAAAGTGAATCTGGCTTTCCCACTGATTTTGCTTGTCAGAAGGTGATCACATGATCCCATGATCACATTGCAATCATATGAGTCAGTGGCCAAGCATCTGAAGTTTGATCACATGACTGTGGGGATGCTGCAATGGTTGTAAGTGTGAAAAATGCTCTTAACTCACTGTTTTTTAGTGCTGTTGTAATTTTGAATGGTCACTAAATGAACTGTTGTAATTCTACGTGGGGCACACATCACGTCAATTGAAAACCATGATCTACAAACAACGGCTGGCAGTCAAACATCACGATCCCAACTTTTTAATCTTTACGCATACCGACACCAAACAGCACCAGTTCGACTGGAGCAACACAAAAATCATCGGCCATGCTACCACCCACCACACTCCTGAGTTCATCGAAGCCTGGCACTCCACAAGCAATTCCATCAACAGACACATTGACCTACAACCAGCTTACAAACCCCTCAGAATCCAAATCAACCACACAGCCAACCAGAGACTGCGCCAACCCTCAACCAACCCATGCAAGCTTCCCCTCAACCAGCAGTTCACCTCCCAATGACCCTTATCTGATGTAACCTCCCCATCACAAGACTCTCACTGATGACTCACACCTGATGATGACCTTCTACCGCTGCACCATAGAGAGTATTTTAACTTACTGCACCTGTGTATGGTTTGCCACTTGCACAGTGGCAGATAGGACAGCACTCCAAAGGGTTAACGTCATTGCCCAGAGGATCATTGGTTGCTCTCTCCTCTCTTTGGAAAGAGCTTTATAGCTCCCGCTGCCTTAAGAAAGTTCAAAACATTCTTAAAGATCCATCTCATCCTGGGCACCCTTTTTTTGAACTATTACTATTAATGTGCAATGTGGTGCAGGAATCTTTTAAACTCATGGACGATAGAGGACATGGATGGGCTTGGGGAGATCACAGCACTTTTTCCTCTAAAGCTGTTCGTGCCAAATTCCAACACACTGAGAATTTATAGCAGTCTCACTCTAGCAGAAATCATTCATGATTAACCCCAGTTTAAAAGACTAAAATCCCCTGTACCCCTGCAGTTCTGGCTTGTTCCCACTCTCCTTTGTTAAGAAAAAATAACTAGAGACAATTAGTTCTTTTTTTAAAATTTATTTACTCCAACAGCTGTTTCAACTGACAAAATAACATCTGCACAAATATTCTGATTAAATTTGAGATGGCTGCTAGGCTTACTCTTGTCACTACAATCTGGCTCCCTATTCCCCTTCTGACTCTAGGCGACAAGAGAAAGATGCAGCCGAACAAGATTCTGTAGAATTCTGAATCTGGTAAAGATCTAAAGTGGTGCCAAAGAATACAAGAGGAGCCTCTCCTCGGTTTAAATGCAGATCTGTTTGCTCAAAATCGGAACAATCAAAACACGTATTATTATTTTGTATTTTGCAGAAGGAGATTAGAATAGAAATTGGTATCCTGGCAGGTTTTTTCATGCTTATTTTTACCTGGGAGACAAGTGACAGTTGAGTCTATTAACTTCAGGACATTGAGGAAAGACTTATGAGCAGTGGTGAAATTCAGCCAGTTCTATATGGCTCAGGCAAACTGGTAGCGCCGGCAGTGGGAGGCTCCGCCCACCTGCCCAGACATCATCACGTCCTATTTTTGACCCTCTGTGCATATGCAGAAGGCTCTGCGCATTCGTGGAGGAGGCGTGTACGAGCTCACATTTGTGAACTGATAGCGAAGGTAAGTGGATTTCACCCCTGCTTATGAGGAAACTTCCAATCAGGAATCTCCTTCCTTGGACTTCCAGGGGAGCCATGGTGAATTGAAGACAACTCTCTGAAAGCAGAGCTAATGACTTGGGCAAAGACCAAGAAACTGGGTAGTAGACCAGTTCCTTGGAACCTCTCCAGATAAGGAGAAAATGAGAGATTGCCCACATGTTCTCTGGACAGTTGGTTCTCAAGAGGAAACTGCAAGACAGGGGTTTTCCATGGGTTTAGCACTGGGAAGTGATGGGATCAGTCATTTTGTTTGCAACCATGGAAGAGAATTTTAACAGACAGTAAGTTTCAAAACTCACTTTTTAATCTTTTTCAGAAATTGCTTATTAACTATTTCTAAGATCTTTGGACTGTCAAGTCTGAAAATGTTGGGTGAGTCTGCCTTCAATCCTGAATGGGAAAAATAATAATCATAAGCTAAAAAAAGTTAAAGACACTGATTGGTATTTATAAGAAAAAACAAAGATAAGAAATTTTATATTTCAAAAACTGGATACTAGAGGGGACTAAAGTTTTTAGTTAAAGATCTACCTGAATCTGCAAAATGTTGTAAAACATTCTAACAATGAAACTACTGGATGACACTTTTGAAGAATGGAATTAGAAAATATCAACAATGTTAGTAATGATGTCTGCATCTCTGAATAGACTATGCCCAGAGGAAGTTATTGAAGAAATGTCACATGTAGAAAAAAATTAGCTGACAAGATACAGATGGCATCAAAAGTGGTTTACAACTGAAGACCAAGAGAATGAATTAGAAAAGAATGTTTTATGGATCTACCAAAGAAACTGACTGAGGCCTTAAAGTTTGGAAAGGAAATATGAATGACAAACCAAGAGAGTGACGCTGATAATTTTTTCCTACTGGATACAAAAGAGCTATTCAAGTCTTAAAGAACTTTGTGTAATGGGATAAAAAAAATGAAGAAAAATCACATCGTACAACAATATTTGAATGAACTAAAATGATGATTGTTAGAAGCAAAATGAAGGAATATACAGTTGCTTTATTTGATCAAGGTTAAAAAAATAAATTCTTACATCTGGCAACCCTTTATAGACTTCCTATCTGCACCAGGACTGAGAAGATGATGCTTTATGGATTTATTTATACACAAGAGATACACAAGGGATATGGGAGGAAGAGACAAACATTTGTAACATTGGAGGGAGTGAAGAGTCCCTAAATTTCTTTATATCTGTTATGATGCAGATTGGAAATAATTTCTTTCTATATTTCTTTTCTCTTTATTGTCCCTACAAATGTAGTTTCCCTACTTTTCTCTTGTCTTTTTTTCTTGCATTTTTCTCCTACTTTGTATTCTTCTTTTTTAAAAGCTTATTTTGTATTCCATCCTTCTGAGATGAGTAAAATGAGGACCCAGATCGTTGGGGCAATATGCTGACTTTGTAAACCACTTAGAGAGGGCTGTAAAGCACTGTGAAGCGGTATATAAGTCTAGGTGCTATTGCTATTAGATTTTACTATTATAATAAAAATCCATATGTACAGTATATACCTCCCTCCCTCCCTCTTTATAATGTATTATAGAAAAAACTATGATGCGATTATATCAATATTTAGTCTATTGATATAATTGCAGAGTGGAATTTTTTTTTTTTTGGTGTAATGCAGGATGCATTTACAAAGGGAAAGTACACCACTTGGTTAATCAAATGATTTGGCTTCACTCCATGAGGACCTTAATAACCATTACTAAAGAACCAAAACACTAGCACTGTCACAGCTATTCCCACCCTGATGATAGGCTTTGTTTTTATAAACTTGAATAAACAGGGGCCAGAAATACTCGAGTGGGATTAAAAAATAATTTGAGATCCACAGGAAGAAACCTTGAAAAGCCTACCATTTAATTAGCTAATAAATAACATAGTGTGATACTAATTGTATGACAGCAAAGCTGTATCCAAAAGCAAAGCAGCATCAATAAATGATAAGGCAAGTGAGCTATAAAGCCATAAAATGAAGGGGGAAAAAAAACTTTCTGCAAGTACTTAACATAAGAAAATAAAAAGAGCCTTGCTACTTCAAACAAATTCTTAAATCTCCTTAGATTTCAGCACTCACCTCTTCCCGATAATCATGTGTGAGATTTTCTCATATGAGATTTCATGTGAGAATGCTACAATCCTATTAATGTCAATCCATTTTTAAATGAAGGTCTAGGAGTTTTGTGGACATTCTGTAACTTCTGGGTAACATGGTTCTGTCTGTTGATCAGTGTAAAGCCTACTAATAAAACATGAGTTCAACAGCATGTTTGGGCACATGAACCTTTGTATAGATATGAGACCTTTCCTCACTGCTACTGTGAAGCCCTCTTTCACCACCCTAGGAAACTATACCAACATGCAGTTTGCCATTCCCATTGTCCATCTTGCCTTGATTGCTTCTCTTCCTAGCCATCCGATTTCAGAATAATGGAGTTGAAAGGGACCCTGGAGGTTTTCTAGTCCAACCCCCTGCTCAAGGAGGAGACCCTATACAATTTGTCCAGTCTCTTCTTAAAAGCCTCCAGTGATAGAGCACCCACAACTTCTGAAGGCAAGCCATTTAACTGGTTAATTGTTCTCACTGTTAGGAAATTTCTCTTTAGTTCTAGCTTGCTTCTCTCTTTAATTGGTTTCCATCCATTGTTTCTTCTCTGGCTTTCTGGTGCTTTGGAAAATAGGTTTTCTCCACCTTGATGAGCAAAGAAATGTATACATCTCATGCAACTGCCTGGTACATTGACTCAATGCTGTCACTCAAA